TTGAGATTTATAATTTGACCACAACACTGCATCATTGCATAAGGTTTTTTATTAAATCATAACAAACTAACCCACACAGCAATTCTGAGCCCCTGTCCCAGTTTTCCAACAATAATACTTGTTACTACTGGATCAACAGGGAAATAAGGTGGAGTTGTATTCTGCTGTGTTCAGAGGGGACAACATTATAAAACAGACACAGCTCACATAGGGAGGAAATGGGGGGGTCATTAGGAGCAAATGATTGCCCCGGGTCCCCCTAACAGTTTAATCCCTCCATGGTTCCTGAGGTCATATGTGTCTAAAGCTGTTGTAAGCAATAGCTGTAATCATGCAAACATGGCATAGGGGTCCACTTTCATACCCTGATTGAGGCTCTGTGGCACAGACAGATACCCCCCCTCACACACACACACAGGTCTCATTGTCCCCGTCATTAAACACCTACAGTCGGCACCTCCGGCCTCCACACTTACGCAGTTACCAGGACGACAAGAATACTGAGCATTCTTTCTCTCGTTGCCGGGGTGACACTAATTATGGGGTGTGGGAGGGCTGACGGGACGGCAGGATTCCGGAACGTCCACAGCGACGGAGGAGAGAGGCGTTCAGGGACGCCCTGTGACGAACAAGGGCTTAGTTATACACACACACACCACTCCCTAAGTGTGTGTGTGTTTACGAGTTGCATAGATTCCCCAAGGACACGTGTGTATTCCTGCCCTGCTATGATAATTACTGCGAGGAAATCACACTCCAAAATGTGTGTTTACGTGTGTGTAAATATGAATGTTTGTGCGTGTGGGTTTGTTTGGACAATGTTGTAAGAGGACTCTATGTTGGTCATTATTTAGTTTATTTGTTTATTTATTCTTTTAAACACTTTCTTCCTGTTATTGTCAACTGTCAGTTTTTTTTACAATTAGACAGACATTTAACAACCAACAGTCAAGAATGTACCTCAAAGTGCAATATCACAAAGCTCCTAAAAGGTGGTGCAGTGATGATATATTTTTGTAGGCCAATGAGGATGTTAGCATCGCAAGGGCTCCCTCGACCCATAGCAATAGGCGCTTTCACACCGGAGTACTTTTCCCAGGAATAGTTCCGAGAGCAGGGACTTTCCTGGGGAGAAAAAGGTTTGTGGGTGTGTCGGCCACACTAACAATTTCTGATTGGCTGTGCGAATTGCAAATCACGGCCCGTAAAACTCCGAAAAGTTTTGTGAAGCCGCCATTTTATTTGCTCGCATTAGCATTATTAGCATTAGCCCAGCGCACCAACGGAGAGAGACTAACTTATGGCAACACAAAATAAAACATGGGAGCGTCGGAGTGATGAGGAGGTGTCGGCGCTTCTGGCGATTTACTCGGAAGACGCAAACCAGCAGCTTCTACTGAAGCCAGTCGCCAACTCCGGGGGACTCCGGGAGGCAGTATACGCGGTGAAGTTGTTTGCGGCCTGCCAGTAAACCCAAAGCAGAAGAAGATGAAGTGACGTCAGCGGCTTCATCTGTGTAATCCTCCCTCAGGGACTTATTCCGGTGTGAACGCGATCTACTAGGACAGTTCCAGGAACTAAAGAGTTCGGGGGAACTAAGTACCGGGGAACTAAGTACTGGGACTAAGTACCGCAAAGTACTTGGTTTGAAAGCGGCTAATGGGATTTTTCCATTGGATTTCAGTATATTGTAGAAACAAACACATGTTTTGTTCAGCAGGATAATATCCACATATTAACACCATCCTATGATTTTTGTAAGTAAAAAGCTAACATTAGGCTATAAATGAACTACAGCACATGACCTCCTGTCACAACCGCTAAGCTAAAGGCGGCTAATGTTAGCTTGATGACGTTTCATCTTCTCATTTAGACACTTGTTAGCAACTGTTTTTATATCCACGTATTTTAAGTCGTAGAACAAAACATTAAAATCTCTTCAGCTTGTTTTAACCACAGACCTTACTTCGGACTAACAACCAAAAACACATTCAAAAAACACATTGTCACGAGACAAGGGAACTCAAAGTGTTAAGAAGCTAAGTCATTTCAGGGATTTAGGACTCATTGCTGCACCACTCTATAACCTAGATTTGTTAAACACAGCAATACTGTGGAAGATATAAACCAAAATCTCTTGGCATTGGTAGTACACAGATGAGTTGTTACTGTCCTCATGATATTTAGTATTATTGGATGAGTATTTTCGCTTTTTCCTCAAAAAACACTGACACACACACCAGGAAGGACACCAGGTCAAGGGCTACAAAGCAAGGGCACGAGCAAAGGAAAAAGCCCCAGAAAAAAGAGCAGAAGGGGGGAGAACAGAGAGAGATGACTGAATCAAAAGTGAAGGAGCATCAAGCTGAGGAGGAGAGGCTGTCGGGGAATTCCTTTCCAGCTACAGGGTCAGAGAGGTGGAATAATAAAAGAAGGCCAAAGAGATTAAAATAATATTGACAAAGAGGCAGATTTATGGAGAGAGAAGGGGGTTAGCGACAGAAGGAGTGTGTGGTCAGAGCATACACACTGATGTGCAGAGTATGAGCAGGCAGAGTGTGTTATTGCCTCTCAACGGTATAGGAAGAGGTTATCTCTTCAAACACACAGCAGAAATGCAGGTCACGGTGATAGGAAGTATAAAAGGAAAGATCATCGGTCAGAGGTTCATGTGCTGGGAGAATGTGAGGAGCATGTGTCTGAAACAGATGCTGGCAACATCAATGATAGGTCTATTCTATTTTAAGGGCCCCATTATGCTGATTTTCAGGTTCATATTTATATTTTGTGCTTCAACTGTGACATGTCTCCATGCTTTAATGTTCAAAAAGCTCTTTATTTTTCTCATACTGCCTGTGCTTCAGCACCTCTTTTCACCCTCCGTATAGGAGAGTAACTCCTGGTGGGAACACAAGGATTTGAGCCTTTGCAGACCATTCACCACCTTTTTTGTCAGATCATTGGATTTATTGGCTGCCGTAAGGATGTAATGTATTTGACCAAATACCAAAAATCTTTGTAAAATATATATAGTTACATCCGACCCTAGCTTTAATTATTTTGTTGCGGTTTCCTAAGACAAGAATGGATGAAAAGTACTTTCAATAAGGTTTAAAAAACACCATCCACTAACAGCTAAACGACAACTGAGAGCATGTGATGCGGTCAAAAGCTTCAGAACAAGATAGTAAGTCAACCTCTGCATTCTTATTTTGTCATATGCTGTTACGAAGGTCAAGAATAAACTCTCCAGCTCAGTTTGTTCTTCTTATTGTGTAATATGAACAAGTGCTAGTAAAATAACTCAATTTATATTCAAGTAATGAGAAAAATATACTTTTGGTACAGTAAATGAAATTGAAAACTAACCTCCCTTACACTAGGAAATGCAAACATTCACCTTCATCCAATGTCTTCATTTATATGCACACACACACACACACACACACACACACACACACACACACACACACACACACACACACACACACACACACAACACACACACACACACACACACCACACACACACACACACACACACACACACACACACACACACACACACACACACACACACACACACACACACACACACACACACACACACACACACACACACACACACACAGCTGTGCTCACCACTGGGAATGAAAAGTGTATTATGAACTCACCCTTGGTCTGGATGAAAGCCCACTACAATTCATTTTAGCCACAGCAGCCACTGTAAAGTAGTTTCCTTTTATGTTTGTGATGCCAACATAATCGATGTCCTTCAGTGACGTGACAAGTGAGCGATGTGGTGCTGTGAGGACGGAAACAATCACTCACTGGAGACACACACATGGCAACGTCTCGTGCAATGAGTAAACACACACAAGGCCACACACAATCACACAGTGAAACACAGGAAGGCCACAAGATGTCAGCTGCAAAGCACACTTAAATGCCACCTGTGTTGTTGTTTTTTTCTCCAGAAATGGGTGGCTAGGGGTTGTTAATTGAGAGATTTATTAGGAATGCAACTGATAAAAAAGCACATTTATCAGCAAATAACTGACAGTGAGGAAAAAATGGACATGTTTCCACATTTTCCAAGTAGAACATTGGATTTTAATGGCGCCGCATGTTGATTGTTTGATAATCCTCTCCAGGTTTTCAAGCAGGTAAACCATATGTGTGTGTTTTGGCAAAACAGGAAACGTTGGCAGGATAAAATCATTATCGCCCCACCTTTCTGCGCTCATTGTCCCACAGATGGGTTGGAAGCAGGGGGACACGAGGAAGTCAAAGTAAAAGCTTTCCATGTGTGCCAGGGAGCGGGGAAATGAGTTCCATGCTGAACACACACTTCACGCATTTCTCCCATCATGCCAATTCATCCCAAATGTAGAGGGAGAGGAAGAGAGGAATGGAAAGACCTTGCACGGAGTGAATGATGTCAATAACACACAATGCCTGAGGGGTGTGTGTGTGTGTGTGTGTGTGTGTGTGTGTGTGTGTGTGTGTGTGGGGGGGGGTGCTTGCCTTACAGTTTCTTTTGTGTTTGCCTGTCTTTTGTTTGTGTCCACGGGTGGCAGCAAGGGACGTACTGTCATACTCCTTCTGCCCTGCCCTTGTGACATAGCTGTGTGTGTGTACGTGTGTCTGTGGGATCCTGTGCGTGCCACTGAGACTGCGTGAGTGGAGGTTGTGAGAAAACAAGTGCATGTCTGTCAGAGAGTGTGTGTCTGGGGAGTTTACCAGTAGTGGATTAAAGTGTGTGTTTATGTGTAGATATGATTTGCGTGTGTGTGTGACTTTCAGAGTAAGCATTCAGAGGGATATTTACGGTTGGTGAAGATGTTTTTCATTTGCATGTGTTCTGGCACATTTGTGTTTTTATATTTGCATCGTTTCTGAAGCTGCAGCGTGTTTCTGCTATTGGAAGTGTTTTGGGCCGTTGTAGCGCGTTGTCACCTGTCAGCAACTGTAGATATTTGCCTAAATTACATGCTTTATTCAATTCTAAGGGAAGAATAAAAACACAGTTAAAATACAGCAATAATATGAAAATACTTTCAAAATGAAAGTTCAAAACAACATTACAATTGTGTTTTTTTGAAAAGCTATTTAAATCACATACAGTGCTTCATTTATTCCCCTGTTTTCCCCCTTCCTCCTCCTCTCTAAACTGACCTTATGTTTTAATGTCCTATATTCTGACTTCACTGTGCTGCTGGCTTCAGTCTGGGCAGCGTCCCCTCCCGTCTTTTTTCCCCACCACTTTTCCAACATGGAAAGCTCCTCTCCGCCCCTCCTCTATCCGTGCCCCGGCCTGTCTCTTTGTCTGTGACGGCAGGGGGGGGTCGCAGTGTGTTTGGGGAGTTCAAAGAGCGATTAGGAGCCACCCGGGTCTGACTCTGCCTGCACCCCGGGGGAGTTTGTCTCCCTGTGAGGTGAGATCTGGGGGAGTGCTGATGAGACGCTGGGGATCGCAGCCCCAGGAGCTCCTCCTGAGCTTCAGACAGAGCAGCCGTCAGCCCCCCCCTCTCCTCACACTCCCTGCTCACCGTCTCCTGGAGTAACGCCACCTGGAGGGTCATAAGAGAGTAGTATTTCAGCAAGTCATCTAGTGTATTAAACCTTACTAAAACAATAATACAATTCCTTTAAGATGAAAGCAGGCAACTTCTGCTATTGTCAGTCTAAAGAAATAGGTAATTGGTTTGGGAAATAAGCACATAGAGTGGTGAAGGGATAATGTACTTTTGAAGGCCGACCTGAAAGTTAGTATTATAAAAGGCTCCTTCGACAAAAAGTAATGGCATTTTTCCATTGGACTTCGGAATATTGCAGAAAAAAAGCTCTGTGGCACACATGTTTATGATACTTACACGTTTTGTTCATCAGGATAATCTCCACATATTAACACCACTCTGTGATTTTTGAAGCGTAAATGCAATCGGCAGATAAAGCTAAGGATAGGCTATAAAGGAACTAAATCACGGTCACATGACTTCACGTCACCACCGCTAATCTAAAGGCGGCTAATGTTGGGCTATAAAGGAACTACAGCACGGTCACATGACTTCACGTCACCACCGCTACGCTAAAGGCGGCTAATGTTGGGCTATAAAGGAACTACATCACGGTCACATGACTTCACGTCACCACCGCTAATCTAAAGGCGGCTAATGTTGGGCTATAAAGGAACTACATCACGGTCACATGACTTCACGTCACCACCGCTAATCTAAAGGCAGCTAATGTTGGGCTATAAAGGAACTACATCACGGTCACATGACTTTACGTCACCACCGCTAATCTAAAGGCGGCTAATCTAAAGGCGGCTAATGTTTGGCGTGAGGACGTTTAGGCGTGTCATTTAGAAACCTCAGTTTTTATGACACAGAGAAGTTTCAGACATTCACCTGTGGGGTATTTACTAAAGTATTTAATGTTGTAGAACATGTGCTTTCCTTTCTAAAATAGCTGGAGCTGAGAGGTAAACATGTGATGCATTATATTGTTTAAATCTCCAGGTGTACTGACAATTAAAGCCTTGCTCACTGAATGAAATCGGGTTAAAACCAACTGCAGCTCCTCTTATCTGACAGTCAGACAGAGAAAAGAAAAGCAGCTCACTTCAAGTATTGAGATAAAGTGGCCCTTCGTATCTCTCTCATCACTTTACATGCATGTCCTACCAAGATGGCGCACAGCCATAAACACTGCTCACTGGCTCAGTTAATTATAAACACGTGCCATTTGAATACTTTACGTCATTTGGACCATCTGCTGTTTGATAACAGACTTGTGCTGTATGCAACCCAAAATGGTTTAGTGAGACTTTAAAATACTAGAATTTAACAGGAACGTATCGATAGTTTCAGGCAGATTCAAGTTGGCAGTCTGAATGGGCAACCAAATATACAGTATCTGACACTCTGCAAATCAAGTCATTAGCTCAAACATTTGGCACATAATATTATTTTAAAGGGGGCATACTGTATCATAAAACTTCTCACTTGTTCAGCGCATTTGCACTAACATTTGAGTACATCTTGTAGTCAGTTTTTTGTGGGTTGGTCAGAGTCAGTGGTCGAAGTATTCAGATCCTTTACCTAAGTAATAGTACCAATACGACCCTGTTAAAATACTCCATTCAAGTAAAAGTACGGTATTGAGAATTGTACTAAGGTGCAGTATCTATTGGCGCATTTCCACTGCAGCGCGTAGTACGGTTTAAGCGTGCCGTGCCAAACCGGCCCGTTTTTGGTTGCGTTTCCACTAGGCGTAGTTCCGGCTAGCGGGTACTTTTTGACAGTTTCTGGCTCTCCAAAATCGTGGTTCTTTCCGGGCCAACAACCGGGCTGAATATGCTAAACTAGTGAGAGAATCGCTGGCAAGGGGGCTACAACTACAACAAAATGAACATATTTTACCGTGATTTAATTAAATGTAAAAACCATGAATTAATGCTTTGACAAGTCTGCAGACAGACGGCAGGTGAAAAACCTTTTAAAATGTGTGTTTTCTGAATGGAGATCGGCTAAGCTAACGTTGTATATGCTCCGTCCACACTCACAACAACGGCCTATACAGACATAAATAAACCAGCGACTGTATTCGCCATGACACAGGCAGTCTGTGGTTTGTACTTGTTTAACTTTTGTCTAGTTTCTGAACAGATATGAGGAGCTGTGAGCTCTGAGGGCTAACAGCTAACGGCTGATGTTGTTTCTGTGGTTCGCATTGAAGATGACGTCACGGCTCCGCCTACACTGTGTTACTATAGTTACTACCCCAGCTACTAAACTGTAATGGAAACGCAGCATAAAGTGAGCCTGGCCTACCAAGGCCTAACTATACCGTACTAAGCCGTGTGAGGCCCTGCAGTGGAAATGCGTCATATGTATGATCACTAAAATCATAGCCCTTGTGTTGCTAACTTCCAAGTCGGCCTACAAAAATATGTCTTCCCTCCTCCGCTCTTAAACTAGGTCAGTAAAGATGAAACTAAAATAAAGTGTTCTTAAGCACAGCATGGGCCCTTATCATTTGTGAGCTTTACTATTCTGGACAGGCATTCAGCGTTCAGCACTGCATCAGTTTTCACCAGTAATTTGGCGTTTATCTGAGATGTGACAGTGAGAACAGCTCCCTGTGTGTAGCTGTCATGCCGGATGATTACAGGCTCAGGGATGATCCAAAACACATGTTGCTTTAATGGGCGTTGTGTGTGTGTTTCTGCGGGTTTCAAAAATATGGATCTCTCTTCTGCCAGGTGATAAACACTGTATGAGTGTTGGAGGAACACTGGGAACTTGACTGTGTAAATATAGATCTATCATGTGTGCGTGCTGAAAAACATACAGTAAATGTGTGTTTACTCCTGCTCATATTTGGCGTATGGTTTTCTTTTATGTGTGTGTAATTGTCGACATATGTGTACGTGTTAATGGGTGCCCCACTATATCATATGTTCCATGTGCAGCGTGTCACGCCTTATACCGCTGTATGCAATTACAGTGAGAGTGTGTGTGTGACCGTTTGCACACATGTGTTTGCAGACTTCCTTTTCTGTGTGCAAGGCTCAGAGTGCAAGGCTCCTTCCTCCCTGTTTATATGCAGGCATGTGTTAGATCCTGCATGTGTGTGTGTGTGTGTGTGTGTGTGTGTGTGTGTGTGTGTGTGTGTGTGTGTGTGTTGCATGCCAGTCTCGAGAAAGACAGCCATCATTAGGGGCTCCCAGTGAGAGCAGGATTACAGGGCTATTAGATGGAAGTCACACGCAGCAGACCCACAGAGCCCCTGCTTTTAATCTAACACTGTAAACCACATTCCAGTGGCGACACACACAAACACACACACACACACACACACACACACACACACACACACACACACACACACACACACACACACACACACACACACACACACACACACACACACACACACACACACCACACACACACACACACTAACTAAATTGTACGGTAGATGCTTCTAGGCTTGCAATAAGAGGGACACACACACAGTACTTTTTGACCTTGCATGTGTCATATGACCGCAGTGCAGTGAAGGTCAGGCGTCTTTTCCCCCAGACACACTGACCTTTCCTCTTGTCCTGGTTCAACTGCAACAAAGCCAGAGAGAGAGGGAGGGGAGGAGGGGGGAGACAAGACCAGACAGAGAGAGAGGAGGCAGACACAGAGAAACAACATAAAGAAACTAGAAGAGAGAAAGAGTAAGGGTGGGGCAGAGAGAAATTAGGAAAGCAGTGACGGAGGAGAGGGATCAGACTGAATGGAGAATCATCAGTGTGTGTTTGGGTGTGTACGATTACCATACTTGCCAACCTTGAGACCTCAGAAATCGGGAGCATTTCCAAAACCACCGCGGGGGGGGGGGTGCTAGTGGATCGCCGGAGCTGTATTAGATTAATATTAACATGCTTATTGTAGTTGTAAGTGCACTGCCTTGCGGCCTGTAGCACCATGTGTGTGGGCTGGACCTGTATTTTACAGGAAAGGAGTGAGCAGAGGGTAGAATTGTCGATTCTTGTTCTGTTTGCTGTGACTATCTTCCTCACCCTCTCAGACTTTCAGTTGCGCGCGCTACGCTACCATGGAAACCAAACAATGGTGTAGCTGTATTAAAGTCCGAGTGGAAACAGTCCTGAGTAAATCTGATTTTGTCAGAAATCGGGAGAAATGCGGGAGAAATATGACCCCGGGAGGAAACCGGGAGAGGGCAATGAAATCGGGAGGGTTGGCAAGTATGACGATTACACACTTTTTTTAAATTTCAAACCTAATCTCTGCGTTGTGTCAGCCATTGAATGACAAGATGTAGGTACTAACGACACTGTAAAACAAATCACTGTAGCACTGATAATAAAATATAAAAGTCTGCATTTCATGTTCTGCTTATTTTCAGGTTCATATTAATATTATGTGCATCTACTGTGACATATTTTCATGCTTTAATGTTCAAAAAGCTCTTTATTTTTCTCATACTGCCTGTGTGAGCCTCCTTTTTTCACCCTCTGTCCTAAACCAGAGCCCAGTCTGCCCCATAAGCTTAATATGGCCTCATTAAAATCTCTTTTGAGGAGATTTTTGTCGGTCACATGAAAAATGAGTCTTTCGATGATTTGATCTTGAAAAATTGATTTGGCTGATACGCTTTACCACTTAATGATAAAAATGCCTTGACATTGCTGCAGTATCCTGGCAACTGAGCGATATCACAAGGTCATGATCAAAACCTGATTATCTCGAACCAACACACACACACACATCAAAAGATCAATACATCTTTTCTTAAGAACAGGGTGATAGAAGCTTGAGTTTGAATTAGATAAAAAACTGAGAGAGATCATTAAAGACAGAACTGAAAGACAGTGTTCTAAAGGCAAGACGGAAAGAAAGACAGAAGGAGAAATCAAAGGTCATCTTAAGAGATAACACTGACTGATCTGCTCTGTGCAGACACAGCACAGTAAAAATGTCTCTTTTAAATGAGATGTGAAGGAACAGAGAGGAGGGGTGGGGGGGGGGGAGCTGCTGTACTGAAGGTCTATGAATGACATGAAAGAGCATGTCAGCTGTGAAGTTGGCACCAGGTCACCTTGAACCTGCTGAACTCTACAGTATGTGGACCATGGATGTATAATGAGAACTGGATACAGCGTGGGAGGCGGGGCCTCATTCATTCCTATGAGAGTTGCTCATTCGCGCATGATGATAAAATGGCCCAACTTTTGAGAGAGCGAAACGTCACAGATTACCCGGCATGCCTGAAAAGTACCCGTATGTGCGCTCATAGCGCATGCGCAACTTTAACCATGCCCCCCAAAATGCTCGTTCACATCAAGCACGTCAATTTGCGTACACGTAACAGCACCGCACGTTCATGACAGCATGGTAATGGTTTGTTATTATGATAGATTTGATATTAACGAGGCGGCAGTTAGCAGCTAGCGGTTAGCTAGTAATTATGCTAATTTACACATCAATCGTTATGTACTTTTATATTACGCTGTAACAGGATCTAGTGATATCCAAGCAACAGAGCTTCATTTAGCATGAAAGAATTATTGCACTGTGTGTATATATATATATATATATATATATATATATATATATATATATATATATATATATATATATATATATATACACAGTGCAATAAGCTTCTTAGTGCAATAAGAAGCTACAGGGACGTTAATCTACGTCGGTAATATTAACTTTATTTAATACAACATTTACGGTACAAGATTTAATCTTGTAGTATAATATTTTACAAATGATGAATTACAGCAAACATGTGCAATATATCCATTATTACAGCTCCGTGGGCTGGCAGTAAGGCGATATGGGTCCGTACTCCGTTCTTATTGTACATCCATGGGTAAAGATAAACGCATGTACTAGTGCTGAACACGTAACATGAACGTGCCGGGCGGCGCGGTCCCGTGGGTTAGATGCGCGTTCATAATGCAGAGGGAAATAACTCGCAGAATAACGTTATTAGCACATTTTTACAACTTGAGGAACGAATGTTTTTAATAAGGGCTATACAAGTGTTCATACTGGGTAGTTTATTTAGTTTAAAAAAAATTATCCAACGATTTACAGACCACTCTTTCCCCATGTAAGTCAATGGGAAAAAGTGTTTCCGGGCCTGGCAACCAAAAGGAAGTGTAGTACCGCCGTTTGGCCAGCACGAATATTTTCATCTGAGTCCGGCGCACTTCCTGGGGGCTTGATGTGGACAGGCAGAGGGAGGCGTTCAAGAGACAGTGGGAGACCAGGATGTCGTTTTTCTACTGCATGGTACAGCACAACCTTTTTGGTTTTCTTTAGAAGTTGAGGATAGTGATAAGTACTTTATCTTGCCATCGAAAACTAACAACAACTTAAATGAGAAAAATACTAATTCATCCCTTTTCAAGCTTATTAAATCAACAACGGATTACATTTCTATGTGTAGTGTGAGAGGGTTTGGGTGTCAACATATTCCCTTATTATGAAGTAAAGAGGCAGGATACAGTTCATTAGGATTTGCTTTCAGATAGTGCAGAAAGTGTGTGTTTCTGTGTGTGTATCTGTGTGTTAGTGGTCAAACAGCTGAGACAGGCACTCATGTGTTAACACACAAAGACTGGGGTACAAACACACAGAAAAAGCCTAGCAAAGTCATTTTAGGATGCTCTCCTTCCTGTCCCCTCTTTGTTCATAATTAGCTTTTTCCACTCTCTTTCATTCACCCACACACTCTCTTTTCCATCCTTCCTTCAGCCGTCTCATCCGTCTTCCTGCCTCGCTCTTTTCACTTTTTTGTTTCACAATTTATTTCAGCTCCATTTGGATGCTGCTGGCACAGACATCCATCACTGCACACTCAGCTGCCAAAGCAAATATTAACTCTGTCTGTCTCTATGTCTCTATCTCTCCCCCATTTCAACTCTATCACTCAATCCCTCTCGCTGCGACCACACTTTCACAACCACACACACTCTTACTACCTTTAATCAAGCTCTGTTTGAGACGCGTTGGCACAGCAACACACCAATAGAATACATTTCAACACAAATCTGTCTTTGTTCTCACATGTACAGAGACAATGACTTAGGCCCAATCCAAACCCACCCATACCCACTCAGTGACAGAGTGAACTCCATGTTACAAACTCACACTAACAGCTGAAGGAGGTTCCTATCTTTGAGGTGGAGGGTGTAAATACAGTAGCAAGCTTTGGGACGAACTCCCCCCTCTCTGTCGGAAACAGGAAGTATCGTAACTTTTCATAACCGGGGAGAATAAGGATCTCTCAAGACAACGGTTCAGTTGAATACTCGATTCTGATTGGTCAATTTGGACATTCCAGAGGCTGATAATTTTTTCTAACAGACCGTTGCTAAGGAGAACAGACCGTTGCTAAGGTCAGTTTAACGTCACCCCTTTTCGTTTTCAGATCTGACATTTATGAGCTGCTTGGTTTTTGTTTCTGTAAATATACAAAACTCTACGATCAAATGCACACCTTTACAGTTCTCTAGACTAGATGCAGTTATATGATCGTAATTCAAATAAAATACAATGTAACCTTTAAGTTGTAAACATCAGTAGGACATTATTAAATGTTTGTCTTATTTTGCGAAGTTCACTAGTGAATGTTTGTAAGGAATTATTTGAACACATCGTGTTTCATGAGGGCCACAAACAGCGTTGCACTTCAGGTAGAGAAGCTGGTTAATAAGGGCTGATGCTGTTGATAACTCGCAGGTTTAATAACTTCCTGTTGAAGGACTTTATATATTCGTGTTAGAGGATTAATTAACTTCCTGTTGAAGGGTTTAATAACTTCCTGTTTTGGGGTTTTATAACTTCCTGTTGGGGGGTTTTATAACTTCCTGTTGGGGGGTTTTATAACTTCCTGTTTTAGGGTTGAATAACTTCCTGTTGGAGGGTTGAATAACTTCCTGTTGGAGGGTTTAATAACTTCCTGTTGGAGGGTTTAATAACTCCCTGTTTGAGTGTTTAATAACTCCCTGTTTGAGGGTTTAATAACGTCCTGTTGGAGGGTTTAATAACGTATTTTGGAGGGTTTAATAACGTCCTGTTTGAGGGTTTAATAACTTATTTTGGAGGGTTTAATAACGTCCTGTTTGAGGGTTTAATAACTTATTTTGGAGGGTTTAATAACGTCCTGTTTGAGGGTTTAAGAACTTATTGTGGAGGGTTTAATAACGTCCTGTTTGAGGGTTTAATAACTTATTTTGGAGGGTTTAATAACGTCCTGTTTGAGGGTTTAATAACTCCCTGTTTGAGTGTTTAATAACTCCCTGTTTGAGGGTTTAATAACGTCCTGTTGGAGGGTTGAATAACTTATTTTGGAGGGTTTAATAACGTCCTGTTTGAGGGTTTAATAACTTATTTTGGAGGGTTTAATAACGTCCTGTTTGAGGGTTTAATAACTTATTTTGGAGGGTTTAATAACGTCCTGTTTGAGGGTTTAATAAATTATTTTGGAGGGTTTAATAACGTCCTGTTGGAGGGTTTAATAACTTATTTTGGAGGGTTGAATAACTTATTTTGGAGGGTTTAATAACGTCCTGTTGGAGGGTTTAATAACTTATTTTGGAGGGTTTAATAACGTCCTGTTTGAGGGTTTAATAACTTCCTGGTTATTAGGGATGGAATTGGGCCTCACACACACCTCTTCTTGAAGTTCAGCGTTCCTCTCCGTCAGCAGCTGTAGTTCAGCTTCAGCTCGGCTCAGCTGTAGCGCCTCCTGCTGTTGGGAGTGCTGCATTTCCTGGAGTTTCTCCTCCTCTCGGCTCTTCCTCTCCTCCTTCAGCTCGTCCTGCAGTTCTTGTAGCACCTGCTCTCTCTCCTCCAACTGTAGGGGACATTTTAAAATCTGAAAACTTACGATTTCACTGTTAATGTTTGTTTTTTGTCAAAAAGAAACAATAGTAAGGCTTTGAATCTGTTCTTCATTCATTCATTGATTCTATTCATCGTCATATCACAAATATACAATAATGATACTTTTCAGCAATCTGTTTTTCTCTGACTCAGTCATATCTGCTGCTAAGATTACAAATCAAGATGGCATACATGTTACTGGACTTTAAGAGTTTTGTGTTATATTTTGGGAGCAAATTGTTTTATATGACCTTGTCTGGATTTCGCACAGGAAGTGTGTAAGAAGAAAACATGCAGTGCGAGACTTAGTAGAAGCTAAAGGGGTAGAGAAGTCCCAACACTACGGAAGAAAGTGTTGTTGTTATATAAAGGGGACCTATCATGCAAAATTCACTTTTTGATGTCTTTTATACATAGATATGTGTCCCCTGTGTGTCAGGGAACTCACGCAGCGTCAGAAAATAAAACCCTCTCTCTTTTCCTCCGTACCCAAATCTCTAAAAACGGGGGTACAACGGAGCTGATCCAGATTTGCGTCCGATATGACGTAATATCGGAAATGTAGGCTGGCTTTACACCCACGGCACTATGAGAAACGTTGCTATCAGAAACAATGCCCGACTGTTTTGGACGTAATATGGTCGGTGCATGTTTACATTAGCATCGCTAACACTCCGAGCTAACCTGTACTGGAGAGCATGTGTGTGAAGAAGCAGGAAATAAAAAGGAACTCACCTTGTGGTATAACCGGCAAGAGAGAAAGCCTTTGAGCTCCATACTGTTTCAGAAACAATCCTTGATAATCCATGATATGGCGTTTCATCACCGCAGTATTTAGTTTAGACACTAGCTGCCGGGTCCCGCATGAGCTCAGCCCCCTCCTTTTTTTTTTATCAATTCTTTTTATTAAAGCTTTATACCCCAAATCAGCACTTTTGAAACAGGAAGTGAAATAGAGGGATATGAGACATGACTAGAATGGGTGATCTGTTTGGTATTTTGAGCAAAACACATGTTTTTTATATATTTGTATATATCTGAGACCTATGCTATTGCCTCAAAATAGCATGATAGGTCCACTTTATATAAGTGAAGTGTTTCAAAACTTCCTTTGGTTTATTATACTGTATTTCTGTGTGTGTGTGTGAAACAGCAGGAAGCCAATTCACCTGATGTGTCATTGTTTCTGTTGTCTCACCCCCCACTGCCTGGATTTAATGGCTGTCCCTCTGTCTTTCCTCTCCTTCTTTATCCCCTCAGTACACACAGAGGCAGCAGGAGTAGCAGTAGTGATTTATCATAGTGTTTCCAATGATGCAGAAGGCATTTAAGGGAATAAATGGCATGTATGCATAATTAGATAAAAAAGACAGTAGCATCGCATGCAGAAATAAAGTGGAAAGTCCTCGGCATAAATTCCTGGAAAGCAGAGAGACTTCACACAGAGGGAAGTGAAGCTACAAAAGCAGAAGGGAGGACAATAAAGTGAAAAGCACAAAAAGAATCAATAAACTGAGTGACGCACATGGTCTGTCCAAATCTCTGCAACCACATTTATCTTCATGTCATCTCGTCTGATTACTTTTTAAAAAACGGTCATGAAGATTTAAAATAGAAAGGGGGGTATGACAGGAGATCTGGTGAGGAGGGCATGGAAAAATATATATAAATAAATAATAATATATAACTCATTGTGTTGTGTTCAGTTGTCATTTATATTTTCAGTAATAATGAACATGCACCTTTTGATGCAGCTGTGTGTTGTCCCGCTGGTGCTGTCGGAGCAGCAGTTGGTTCTTCTCCCTCTCAATGGTCAGCTCCAACTGCGCGTCCCTCAGAAACTCCTTCATCTGCTCCTTCAGGTGCAATGCATTCTGGGTCTTCTGGTCTTCTAGGGCTGCAGCCAGCTACAAAGACAAAGACAAAGGACATATCACTCTAAAATATCACTATGTAATGACAAGGCCATATAAAATACATAAAGGAGAGTAATGGATTACATACTCAGGAGACAAAATGTTTTAACTGTAATCCCTTATTAGCAGGATTGTGACTTTAAAAAAAACCCGATATAATATGAAGCATGTGCATTACAACACTTCACGAGTCTCACAACACAGAGTAAAACGAGTCTCTAATGAAACTATAGCTAATCTCTCAGTCCATCATTAAAAAATGACATCTAATGCTCATTTTCAGGTTCACATTTGTATTTTGTGCTTCTACTATGACATGGGGTTTTCCCTCCCACAAACCCCTTAAAACTGCTTGGTACAAAAACACTTGAAATGTGTCTCAAGAAAACGTTTTACATATTTGGCATTGTAATCTTACTCTTTAAAAAAAAAGTACGCTTCTTTAAATATCTTACATTTCAGGCTCTAGCCCAGGGGTGTCAAACTAAAATACACAGTGGGCCAAAATTAAAAAATGGGTACTAGTCGAGGGCCGGACTGGTTCAATGTTTATTGCAAAACTTATTGAAATGAACTTATTGCACATATTAAACCTGGAACTAACAAAGCTTAAATTATTGCCTATAAAAACAACATTAAACATTAAATAATCAGTTGCATTCATTTCTTATGGCTCTATCTGCAGCTTCATTTCTTATGATTACATTTCTCCTCAGGCCAACAACAGCTTCAAAAAAACAATTTCCCTCGAAGAAAAAACAAACATGCCCTGTTGTCGCAAGAAAGAAAGTGCAAAAGGAAACATCCATTAAACTCAGGTTGCTGCTCTGTGATGCTAGTTCAAGCCAGATACTTGGCATCTCATCTTGGGTGCAAGTTCATCAATGTTTGGGGTCAGGCTCTGAGCTGAGAAAACCCTCAGGATTGAGTGAAGGTGTGCGTGCAATATACCGGCGGGCCAGATCTAATAGTAATTAAAAATTATCCTGCGGGCCGAAATTAAATCCACCAAGGGCCTGATTTGGCCCCCGGGCCTTGAGTTTGACACATGTGCTCGAGCCTCTAAGTTGTTGTTCCATGTTGCGTTAATATTGCTGGTTCGAGCTCTATAGAGAAAGAATGTCTTCACCCTTTGATACTATATATGAGAGGACTGTGGTTGTGCAAAGCTTTCTCACATTGTGAAAAGGACAGCTGTGTGTGATTGGCCTTGTCATCGCACCCCAGCAGTCAGAAATTGAATTGTCAGGGACATAAAACTCCAGATTTGGCTGTTGAAAGAATGGGGCTGATGTTGCATGTGACATATTTTTAGTCCAGCTTGGCCAAGGCTACCTTTGTTTTTGGAACATCAGACTGAGCCTCAGTGCCATAGGATCATTGAGGGTGTGTGTGTTTATCTGTGTGTGCAATTATGTGTGACAAGACAGCGGTTGTGGGTGTCAGAGGATTGGCATGTGAAAAAGTGCATATTTCAGCATGTGCGTGTGTGAGCGATGGTTACAGTTTGAGAGAATTGCGTGTGTTGGATGAAATGAGAAAACACCACTTCCTCTTTGCTGGGTTGAGTTTACGTGTGAGGAGCTTGGATGGTTTGTCTGTGTGTATCCGTTAGTGTGTGAGAGTGTGCGTATGTATGTACACAGCTGCCATTTGTATTTAAAAAGTCACCACTTCCTGTCCATGGGTATATAAGCCAGGAAGCCCATAACGAACAATAACCCATATGGACGTGTGTGGGAACAATGTGCATACATCAGTTTTCAATGTGTAGTGTATGTTAGCGTGTTTGTGCTCAACTGCAGGGTTGGGGGTCCTGCAAGTAATTCCCAATTTCAAGAGACGTAACAGTAATCCGATTTTTTTATGTAACTTTAAGGGAATACAGATACCTTTTATTGTATTACGTAATCCCGTTACATAATCCACTACTTCCCAAGCCGGTTCATCTGGCATGTGGCATTTAAAGTACATTTGGCACAATATGCAACACAGTCTCACGGCATTTCGTGTTATAGTCACGAAATTAATCTATTGATTCGTGTTCACCAACACGATTTCGCCATTTTTTTCGTGTCACACAGAACGATTTTAAAAGCAATGTAAATAATAACAAATTAGAAGGAAAAACAGATTTAAAAAAATACAGATTTCAATATTCTGACACAGAACAATTTTAGAGGCAATGTATTTCTATTGGTAGTATGTTTCGTGCCTGCACCAAATAATAACAAATTAGAAGGAAAAAAAGATGACAAAAAATACAGATTTCAGTATTCTGAGGCTCTTTGCCCCATTTCTTTTCCTCGCGGACGGCAAAGAAACTCAGACATTATACAATTTAAAATAAAAGGGATAGGGTTAGGCTTACCCCTAGATTCCACCGGGTCCGTCTGTGGCGCGTTACGGGTGCGTTACGGGCGCGTTACGGGCGCGTTACGGCTGCGCCGCGGTGCTCACGGCGATCGCGGCCACTCTAGTCAATGGGTGCTATTCCACCACACGCGGCGCGTTACGGCTCAGAAGCGTCCCAGAAGCGGCTCGGCGCAGGGCTCCTCTAAAATTAGGATCGAATCCTATTTTTGTCGCGGCGCAGCCGTAACGTAAGGTCGGGCAGGCAGGAAGTGGAACTTTCAGAGCATATATAGCATATATATATAGATATATACACACACACAAACTCATTTTGCAGACCCTATCCCTCCGTAGTCTTTCAAGTAGGAGGAGAAATGCCAGCGTTCTCCTCCGGTTTACAGGCACTGTGTAAATTATATATATATAGAATAATTATTATGATGAATGCATTTTTTTACCACTAAAATACAGCAACACATCTTTGATTCATGTCGTTTATAACTGGAATATTACAGTTATTATTAACTTTGTCTGTACAAAGTAGCCTGTCCAGGAAATATGCCCAAATCAACAAAAACTGCGAGCCGGCAGGCAAGACGCTCCGCTTCTGAAATGCTTCTGAAACGCGCCTGGTAGGGTATGACGCCGGAGGAGGCCGGACCAAAACCGCAACGCGGCGCAGACGGACCCGGTGGAATCTAGGGGTTAGGGTAAGATATTGAGTAAGAACATGTTTTTATGAACCACAAAGCTTCTGGTATTCCAAGACCCGACCGGACAAAAAGACGTGTTGCAGGCACGAAACATACTACCAATAGAAATACATTGCTTTTAAAATCGTTCTGTGTGACACGAAAAAATTGCGAAAATCGTGTTGGTGAACACGAATCAATAGATTAAATTAATTTCGTGACTATAACACGAAATGCCGTGAGACTGGGTTGACATATGGGGTCAGGATAACAATAAAAAGCTGAACATAATTCTCTGTAATGTTATGTTACATTTTCTCTTTCACTGTGACCATAAATGGATTCTGTGATGAATTTCTGGGTTTAAATGTGTTTTTGCAGCATCATTTGGTCAATGGTTAAGACGAAGTACATGTCAACTGAAATACAGTTCTCAAACAGACTTTTAGGCCTGAGTTTAAGAGAACCATATAATGAAGTGATCATTTAGCCGCACTAGTATCACAGATTCCTAACCTTGTTGTGTCCACAATAAAAAAAATGAATGCATCAATAATCATAATCCAATAATCTTATATATATTATTCTGAAATGGGACATTAAGCATAACAATTACTTTTGGTACTTAATGTATATTGTGACGCCAATACTTTGGTACTTTTACTTCAGTGAGATAATAAATATTGGAAAAGTCACAAAAAAAAAAGTTAAAAAGTTAGTTGCACCTGTAGAAGTTATTTTGTAATATTTGTTATGATTGGTTTTGATTCCAAAAGATAAAAAATATTCTTCTTAACTATGTTCAAAGATGTTGTATTCAACTCATTCTCTTTGCTTGTTGGATAGGTTGCTAAGTAATTAGATATTTGGCGAACATTAGCTAGCTTTTAAAGTAGAAAGCTAACGTTAGCTAGCTAGCTGGTTAAGTAAATAGCTAACGATAGCTAGCTAGTTTGATAGCTAGTTAATGTTCGCTAGCCAGCTTGTTGGATAGATAACTGACATTCACTAGCAAGCTTGTTATAGTTAGTGTGTACTTGTATAGTTTTGTCATAGCAGAGACACTGCAGAGTTATAAAAAAGGTCCTCCTATGAGATCTTGGGCAATCTTCATATTTCATCCTTCCAGCCACTAACAAAGGATGGATGTGTTACTGTAAGGCCAATCCATTGGCACAGTGTAGCTGTGAATGATCCCAAATAATATTCAGTGTTACAATCAGCTAGCACTAAACCGGAACAACTAACATTTTTTAGTTAGTACCGAAAGTTTCATCATTTGTTTTATTGTTCGTTTTTTGTCTTTTTGTTGTGACACTTAACTACAGTAAGTCACTATGAAGCCAGACAGGCAGACAAGAGACATTTAACCCTGTTTGCCTAATAAAACACAGATTGGTTTAGTGTGTATGTGTGCGTGTTTACTTTATCTGCTGTCAAACAGACTGGTGGAGCCTCATAATCTTCTCCACATTGTGTGTGTGTGTGTGTGTGTGTGTGTGTGTGTGTGTGTGTGTGTGTGTGTGTGTGTGTTGGGATCCTCCCTGTTAAACTCCTCTGAACTGTGACAATGACTTGGATGCCGTCCTATTTACTCCAACAGACTGGAACTAAATGTCTGACAGTCACACGCTAACACACCCAAAGTGGCTATGAGCAATGTTTTGATTTGTTTTAGCTCATCAAAAATAATTAAAACAACATTACATCTATAGACCATTTAAAGCAACATCTAGTAACTCTGGTGAAAGCTTTAGTTAATTATAAGGATGTCTGGGTCGTATTATCTTTTAGATGATTCAGTTGCACTGAGTACCATTCCTGTAATGTTGGACAAAATTAAAATTAGCAGGCAATTTCTTTTTTGGGCAGATACTAATCCGACTCCCAGGATGTAAACTGTGTGTATAAGCCTGCCATCGGCCAGACCGAAACAAAGTGTGGAGATAAGTCTGGTTGCTAACTTGAGTGTGTGTTTCCAGTGTTTAATTCAGGCTTGGGGAGTAACAGATTACATGACACAGGATTACGTATAACGTTATCAGGATTTAGAGAAAAAAGTAACTGTATTCATTACAGTTAGATAAAAAAAAGACTGCTCGCAATCATAAAAATAGTTACCAACTAGGAATTTCACCTGAAGGCCTACGAAATTCACTTTTTAAAGAGGCCCTAAAGAGGCCCTATTCTGCTTTTTGTGGTGTTCACTATGGAACACTCGCGCTCTGTGATGCTAGTTCAAGCCAGATACTTGGCATCTCATCTTGGGTGCAAGGTCATCAATGTTTGGGGTCAGGCTCTGAGCGGAGGAGACCCTCATGATTGAGTGAAGGTGTGCGTGCAATATACCGGCGGGCCAGATCTAATAGTAATTACAAATTATCCTGCGGGCCGAAATTAAATCCACCAAGGGCCTGATTTGGCCCCCGTGCCTTGAGTTTGACACATGTGCAGTAGAGGAACAAAATACAGATATGAACCAATTGCTATATATACATGATCATACATTCTTTTAGGCATCCATGTTGATTCCACATTACATTACAAGTGTTGGTGATGATTTACCCCTGACTTTATTTGTTGTCTGCAGTCTTCCTCCATCTTGGTCAGGACTGTGCTATGGGACTTTATCAACATCTCCCTGTAAACACACACACACACACACACACACACCACACACACACACACACACACACACACACACACACACACACACACACACACACACACACACACACACACACACACACACACACACACACACACACACACAACACACACACACACACACACACACACACACACACACACACACACACACACACACACACACACACACACACACACACACACACACACACACACACACACACACACACACACACACACACACACACACACACACACACACACGTAAAGAGCAAGATGTGAAACCATGTTTTAATAGTAACTGCCCAAGGACCAAAAAACTAATTCCCCGACGTGATTCAGCAGCTGTCAACAGTCTTCCTTCCATCTGTTCCTAAAACCATTACTGCTCCAGTGTGAATGCCTTAAGATGCCCATATGAGATCAGATCACATGTTCACACACATTGGCTGCTTTAGCTTCTGGAGGAAATGCACAAAAAAACCACAACAAATCCATATGTGCTAAAAAAAAAAGGCTTGAACACATCTTTAACAAAAAGATAACATGCAGTGACATGGCATGAGATATGAGTATTCACATTCAGCGGGTAAAATAAGTGTAAAAGGCTCACACACACACACACACACACACACACACACACACACACACACACACACACACACACACACACACACACACACACACACACACACACACACACACACACACACACACACACACACACACACACACACACACACACACACACACACACACACACACACACACACACACACACACACACACACAATTACATTAAGCATTTTTACCAAGCAGCACTTTCTGCAGTTGAATAAGTAAGTAAGCCAACATCACATCTTAATCTGTCACGATGTGAGAGGCTCTGATAATATTTACACATGCTTTTTCCTTTTTGATGATCCTCTCAGCATGTCAGGTTGCATAAATAATTTTTTTAACAGTCTCTGGGGAAAGAGGAAGGGGAAAAACATATCCTCAGGAAACAGAAAGATGGAGTTGAGATTCGGAGAAAGGGTGAATTTCATTGATTTGTCTATCTTTGTCTAATATCAGCAGCTGGTCCAGCTGATAAGATTTGAAGCAGCCTAATCCTGCCAGAGACAAGTTAAGGAACTACGTTTACTATTTATATTTATACAGTAAGAGTTGGTGAAAAATACATTATTTTGAAGGAGATCTCAATGAATATATGTAGGCGTATGCACACAACAATTCAATACAGACAGAGCAACATTTCTCGATGAGAAAAAGAAAGACCTTTTTGAACATAAAAGCATGTGAACATGTCACAGTAGAGGCACAACATATAAATACCAACCTACATAGTCCTAGCCTAATATAATATGGAAATGTTCTATCCTAAATATCTCAGTTTCTTCTTTTCTAATATCTCATTGCTCTGCTGTCTTACATTATACACTTAATTAAAGAACATCTTATAGATATTTATTTTCTCTTGTGTTCATCTGCATTGCATTTGATATTGAGGTAATAAAGTCAAGTAACGGAAAAATTGTGAACTGTGTGTGTGTGTGTGTGTGTGTATCTGATGGTAGAGAGGATGATCTGCAGTATTATAAAGAGCAGCACCTACATTCCTTCTCTTCCTAGTCACGGCAGACACAATATTATTCACTCCACTGGCTCTGGCTAATCACATCAGCCGACACACACACACACACACACACACACACACACACACACACACACACACACACACACACACACACACACACACACACACACACACACACACACACACACACACACACACACACACACACACACACACACACACACACACACACACACACACACACACACACACACACACACACACACACACACACACACACACACAGCCATGCATGAACGCTCCCCAAGAGTTGCAAGTTTGATGCCAAGATCCTAAGACTCCTGCAGCTCATTTACATGGAGTCAGAGGAGATAAAAAAAAGGCTGTTGCTGTTAAACAAGCATTATGAAACTATCCACCAGAGAGAAAACATGTCTGAAAGATGCTGTGTGTAATAGTTATGTGGCACGCTGCTCTTCTTTAGGGATGTTTTCGGGTCAGATGAGATTATATTCACTTTCATCACAGAAGTGGAGAGTTAACAGGTATAACACATGAGTTAAACATGTAATAAAATACAAATAAAATATATACATATCAACAGTTTGGATATACTGTATATCAAGAGTACCTAAAGAATATATAATATACAAATTCTGAATAAGTAAAAAATATTCTTCAATAGACAAATCTACTACCAAAAAAATAGACATAAGATACTTAAAATACAATTGAATAGGAATAAACCTGATGGGGGAGGCGGAGCCAGGGGCGGACCAGGTGTACCTGCGCAGCAGAGAGACAGAGAAGACAACAGACAACACCCCCAAGTGATTTTTTTTTTTTTTTTTAAACCAAAACAATCACAACAATCAACTCAGTTGACAGACGCGCTCACGACTATGCTTGTCTTCACATACCACTCAGACCACACATCGAACAGGCAAATACCAGTCAAATCACACACAAAAAAAAACACTCGCAACCACTGCGACAATGCATAAAAAATACTCCACCACATCAATCCTTGACTTGTGTCACGCACCCTCTGCAAAAACCAAAAAAAAACACAAGGGGGCTGTGATTGGTAAGAACAGTGACACCTCAAAGTGGTTTAAAGCCAGAACCATAGCCAGTGAGGACCTGACATGGTCTCTTCACACCACCACCATCACCAAGAAAGCTCGACAGCGGCTCTTCTTCCTCCGCAGGTTGAGGAGGTTCAAAATGGATTCCAGGATACTCTGCAACTTCTACAGGTGCACGATAGAGAGTATCCTCACTGGCAGCATGACGGCCTGGTACGGCAGCTGCACCGACCTCGATCGTAAGGCTTTACAGAGGGTGGTGAAAACTGCACAGCACATCACCAGGACGGAGCTGCCATCCATGGAGGACCTGTACTCCCAGCGGCTCAGGAAGAAATCACTACGGATTATCAAAGACCCCCATCACCCCAGCCACAAACTGTTCTTTCTGTTGCCGTCTGGCAGACGTTACCGCAGCATCCTGGCAAGGACAAGAAGATTCGGAGACAGTTTTCTTCCCGCGGGCAGTGAGACTGTTAAAAAATTGAACTGTTGAAACAACATCAAACATTCATCTGCTACTCAGTAGTATGTATCTAATACCTAATATATATATATCATTCCAATAACTTGTATATAGACTCATACTGCACTATTCCACATCATAACTTATTTCATTTTTATAACTATTATTATTTTTGTATTGCTCATGCTCTTATTGTTATTATGTTATGTTATTATGTTGCATTGTTGGAGAAGCCTGTGACATAAGATTTTCAACTGCATAATTACTCTGTAGCTATGTCAGATTGACAATAAAGAACCTTGAACCTTGAGTGCTTCCTTTTCGATGGTGGAACACACCCGCTGGTGGGGATTGAATTTCCCGGAGCGGTACGACACAGGGCGCTCCACTTCACGATCAGCTCCAATACATCTGCACGCTGCGCATCAGGCAAGCGTGCCAAATGAGACTCAACATTCACCAGAGTCTCCGCAGCGATCGGGGCCTACGAGGTGACAGGGGTGTCACTTTCAGCACTGGACAGCGCCACCACACAGGCAGCGACAGGGTTATGAACAGCCCCGGGGCAGCTACCGGACTTTTAAAAATAAAATAAATAAAATAAATAAAATAAATAAAATAAATAAAATAAATAAAATAAATAAAATAAATAAAATAAATAAAATAATAAAATAAATAAAATAAATAAAATAAATAAAATAAATAAAATAAATAAAATAAATAAAATAAATAAATAAATAAATAAATAAAATAAATAAAATAAATAAAATAAATAAAATAAATAAAATAAAATAAATAAATAAAATAAATTAAATTAATTAAATTAAATAAATTAAATAAATTAAATAAATTAAATAAATTAATAAATTAGTCATTAGTCATTAATTAATTAATTAAATGAGGAATGAGAAGAACACACACACTCGGGTCAGTTCAGGACATTACTATGTTTTTGTTTTTATTTCTAAAGCTCAAGCACTTTATGGGTTTTGCAGTTCGGTGGTAAGAAATCAAATAAAGTGAGGATTTGATGTTTTTCTAAAGCTGAATATATAAACTGCTGATGCACGAGTGCTTGTCAGAAATAATTCTGTCTCTGCGATTATTAAAAAAAAGTAGAACTCTGCAAAGGTAGAAGTTTAAATTTAACTTTTTTGTGTGTCTGTGTGTGTGTGTGTTGGCATGTGTGCGAGTGTGTGACCCCCCGGGGAGCATGAGCGTGCAAATTCAGCCCTCAGAAGGAGGTCTGGGGGGATTACAGGGAGGAATCTGGGAGCACTCTCTCATTCACTCACACGCCAGGCTGCTTTTAAGGACAGGCTAGTGTGTTGTGTGTGTGTGTGTGTGTGTGTGTGTGTGTGTGTGTGTGTGTGTGTGTGTGTGTGTGTGTGTGTGTGTGTGTGTGTGTGTGTGTGTGTGTGTGTGTGTGTGTGTGTGTGTGTGTGTGTGTGTGTGTGTGTGTGTGTGTGTGTGTGTGTGTGTGTGTGTGTGTGGCTGCTTCCTCATCATAAGGCACATTCCATTTTTTGACTTTATGCTGATACTATCTCCTCAATGAAAGCTGACTTTACTCCAAATAATACAGCGAAACCTAATTTCAAATAGTTATTGTGTGTTAATAAAGATCAGCTGACGTCATCTAATATATAACACAGATTTTAATAATATAACTCTGGAAAGAGGATTAAAATGTCAAAGTCAAGAATTTTCACCCACGCTTTCAAAACAGGAACTGACTGCCTTGTTAAAATGTGAATTTACAGCAAATGGACATTTATGACAAGTGAATAAAAACGGACACAATACAAATAAAAGAGACCCAGACAATGATGAAATAATATTTTCCAGGGTAGGGAGTCTTACTTTAAAATGTAATCTGTTACAATTACTAGTTACCTGTAAAAGAATGTAACCTAATCTGAGTACTGAGTTACTTTTGGATTACCTCAATAGGAAATGCAATTCAAATAAATCCAAGAGAAAATAAATATTAATAAGATGATTTTTACTGAAGTGTATAATGACACAATGAAACAATGTGACCTTAGAAAAGAAAAAAACAAGATATTTAGGATAAAAAATGTGTCCTCTGCTCAAAGATTTTATTCATAGGAAAACCTGCCTTTCAACACATGAGCACATACTACAGTTTAAAAAAGCAGAAATACAATCTGAGCTGACAGAAAATGCTCCATTTAAGTTTAATACACACAGTTAAGCTCACACACACTATTTTATGAACATATAGGTTCACCTACTGAATTAAAAACAGAACAAATGAACCAAAGAAAGTGAAAACCATGAAGCAGATTCAGGCAGTAGGTGTATTGATACACACTTAAAGTATTATCCTACAGAACAGTACAGTTTACAGAGAAGAAATAACATCTGATCCTTTTACAACAAATACAATATGCTCTTTTTTACTCACATTGTAATCCTGCAAGTAGTCCACATTTGTATGACTGTAAAAGTTATCAGATTTTTTTTGAAGTAACTGTAAGGGAATACAGTTAACTTTTTTTTGTATCCTGATAATACAGTTAGATGTAATCTGTTACTCCTGGTTAAGCCTCGGTGTTAAACCACTTCTCTGCATTGGGACAGAAGAGAGATCATAATTCCTGTCACATTCCTCTGCTGCCTGAAGACCACTTGAAACAAGTCCTCTCGTATTTAACAGATGGATGAGAAACCGCACAGATACTCCTGACCTCTCTTGACTTTTAAATCTTTTACTCTCTCCACTCTCACTCTCTCTGCTGTCTGCCTGTCTTTGACTTTGTGTCAGTTAAACTGAAACCACTGAAGCAGTGTTAGAGTAAGTAAAAACAGATACTATTTGAACTTTAAATACTCCATTACAAGATCAGAAGTAGAAGTATGAAGTATAGCTTTAAAAGGAAGAACTTAAGTAAAGTACAAATATGTCAAAAAAGTACTTAAGTACAATACTTGAGTAACTGTACCTAGTCACTTTCCACAGCTGAGTGTAAGCTGTCATCTTTCGTGTGTGTGTGTGTGTGTGTGTGTGTGTGTGTGTGTGTGTGTGTGTGTGTGTGTGTGTGTGTGTGTAGATCGTGTGCGCCCCTTCAACTCAGGCTGCACGCAAGAGACAGACAGTGTGTGAAGTAACCGCGGCGACCACAGTCACGATCTCCATCCTCCCCTCCCCACCCTGACTCCCACCCTCTCCCTCAGCCTCCTCCCTTCTTTTCTCCTTCATTTCATGCTTCTAGTTATACTCCTCCTTGTCTTTATTACACAGTTTAGTTGAATACTCGATTCTGATTGGTCGATTTGGACATTCTGTGGTCTGCACATTTTTCGCTAGCAGACTGTTGCTAAGGAGGACGCTCTGATCTATGTGCAGTCGTATCAATCCACAGAATGAAGTCCGGACAATTTAATGTCGTCTGTTGACAACAAATATTAGTTTTCCTCCATCAGAAAACACAGTGGAATACTTTTTTAATATTTATTTTTATATTTGTGAAGAGCAGGAAACGTTGGACTCATGTTGGCTAAACTGTCCCCAGTAAAGGAAAGAAGGAAAGAGGTTAAAAGACAGAGAGCTGGACGTCAGATAAATTAAGAGAAGAAGACAGACAGGAAGTAAACACTAACCGGAACAACAGAAGAAGACGGACAAGAAATACACACTATCAAAACAAAATCGTTTAAAATCAATATTGTGAGTCCACTTATTGGTTCAAGTAGCGTGTACTAAGAGGGATAATGTGCAGCGAGGTGGAAAAAGAACACTGACAGGACAATCAGGTCTCCTTACTACAGAAACACACACACAATGACCGTTAGCCCTCCAGCCACTAAGCCCAGTTCATCTGAGGACAGACATGCCTCTGTGTCTCTTTGTGTTCAACCAAGCTTTTGACATTTATTCACAAAATGAATTCAACTGGAAAAAATATTTCAGCCTCGAGGGACAAGCTTTCATTTTCAGTGAAGTCTTCGCATTTAAATATTTGAGGATTACCTTATACTTCTGCAATTTGTTGGGAGTTAAATGGCTCATACATTTTTTTTTTGACAGTATATTAAAAGATAGTTCGACATAATAAACCGACTTTGATTTCATTGCTTTTTTTTGTCCTCGCCAACAAGGAAGTAATTACAACAGATGGTGAGATAGACTGTACAAGACAATAAAGTAATGGTAAAAAACATTTCCTATGTGAGGCCAACCCTATGATGAATAATAATAATAATTGTTTTTGGATAATTTAACATTTATTTTCTTGCCGTTTTGTTTATAGTAAATTATTCATTGTTTAGTGTAATTTATTTTAGTTAATTAAAGTAATTCTTAATGCTGAAGGCAGTTGTGGGAACTGGGTGATTAAGGTATGTATTAAGGTATGTATTGGAGACAGGTGGAGGTGGGATTGGAGCACCAGAACGGGCAAATGTTTTTGAACCACAGGCCACAGAAAAGGCATCGGGGGAAAAACCGTGTCATTGTACTGTTTGATATTGAATCATCTGAATACAACTGCACACAACGACGTTCTTGCCTGGACTTTAGGATATTTTTTCCTAAGTAAGATTTGTACAGTGTATTAGTACTTTTCTCAAGTAAAGGATCTGAATACCACTGGACACAAGTAGTAAAAAAAAATATAACAGAATAAAGTAATAACATGGATAAACACCCGTAAATGTGAGGCTTTTAACCCTTAGATGCACGAGTGACTACACTCTTCCATAAGTGGGTCAAAAAGGACCCGTATTAGAATAATGTGTTTTTATGCCATTTTTGTCATTTTGGTTAAGAAAAATCACTTGTATAATATTTAGTATTATATTTTGGTTCACACTAGAAATATTTTATATTTAATTTTTCTCAATTTTTATAATTTTAGATTTTTTTTTTAGATTTTGAAAAAAAACGTTTTGAACATATTGATGCAAAGATCTCCGCTATTCTGAGACCCTCACAGTATTCCAGTCCCTTTTCAAAACTCCTCTCTTCTCCTCTTGTCTACTCATAGCCCACCCCCCATCAATCCATGCCGGTTGATCAAGTTTGATAGTCCTATACCCCCCACCCTAACCTTCCCTTATATTGTAAAGCGTCCTTGAAAAGCCCTATAAAAATATAATGTATTATTATTATTATTATACTGACAGGTATCAGATCTTGCTGTGTAAAATAATCTTCCTGAGAGGTGGCACTTGTGATGTAATATGAAATGATAAAAAAATGTAATTACAAAGATACTCTAAGAAAACCACCTCACCGGGTCAAAAAAGACCCACTTATGCATCTAAGGGTTAAGCAGTGTGATCCGGCCACACAGGGAGACACCTCACATAAAGCCTGGGCAGCGCTCCCAGCTCCATTAGATCCACTCCCTCTGCTCTCAGAGAGACACAGGCTCTCTGCTTCAGCACTGTCGAGAACACATTCACAGAATTCCTGCCTGCACTCACCCCGTGTCCTCTCAGACACAAAAGACTTGTAAATATTTAACATTAACAGAACTAAACAGTCTATTTCCTGACCAGAGACTCAGTACAGCCACTAGTCTGTGCTGGTGGTGTCACTGTTAGGAAAAACAAATCACTAAGGCTGCCTCACAGTTTTAGAGTTGGAACAAAAATACAGCATTCTATCTTTGTAGAAGTTATGATATGTCCACATTAGGGATTTATTCTCATTAACACATTGAAGTCTGAACAACTTCAGAAAACGAGAAATTGGACCATCGAAGGAGCATGTGAATGCACCATTAGCCTGAGTGGAGGTTGGAGTGCCATTTTAGTTTAGAGTTATAGGTAAAGAATCCTATTAAGATAAATAAAATAAGTCTTAACAAAATAGGTAGCTTGATTTGGGGAAGAATTTAGATGTAAAAATTCCTAACCTGTCTCTCCTCAGCTCCCTCGTTTCCTCCTGGGTCTTCTCCAGGGTTTCTCTCAGTCGCGTCACTTCCTCTTCAGCTGCGCGGTACTTCCTCCTCATCTGTGCCTCTCTCTGCTGCCATGACGACAGCTGCTCCTGCATGGTGTCATACCTTTGTTGGCACGACAACCACATCTCGTGTTTCTCCTCCAACTCCTCTTTTAACCTGTTAGAAAAGATGCAGAAGATGAGCTCAAACACACACTGCTACTGTCCATACGGTGATATCCCATAAGGAAAAGTTTCCAATTTGTATCTGTATACAGTGTGTGCATGTTTTGACAAAAACATAACACCTGCAAGTACACATACTAACAACAAGGGGAGTGTTAGCATCATAGTTTGTTTCATAAGAGAGAACAGAGTGGTGCAGTGATGACCTATTTTTTAAGGTAAGTAAACATTGTAAAGGCTTCCTGGAAACCCCATTGGATTTGAGTATATTGCAGAAAATAAGCTCTGTGCTATCTTAACCAATAAAAAGACATGTGCATGTTTTATTCTGAATCTGAATTTTCTAACCAAAGGTGTGTATGTACTGGAGTAAAAGTAAACTATCTAACCTCCCTTAGTCTACATAAGGGCTATTCAATTGGCGGCCCGCGGGCCAAATCCGGCCCCGGAGTGATATTTACTGGCCCTTTGAGTATAATGTTAAAAAGTAATCTACTTTTTTTTTTTTTTTTTAATATATATTTTTTTAATATTTGTTTTTGGGCCAGAGTGCCTTTATTCCAGAGAGGGTGTTCAATTGAGAGATAGAGGGGAAGACATTGCCTGAAAACTTCTAACTTCTGCGGGCTCGGGTTTCGAACCCACCTACTAGCTACTGTAGTGACAACTCCTGTCATTGATTGCATCTCTGCGTGAATGATTAGATCATTTCACCTAAATCAAATGAAATGATGTTGATGGTTAAATCTGCTTCACATGTAGGCCTACTGAGTTCTGAACTTGCCATTTAGATCTATAAAGGCCTTGGGGCTATATTGTTTGATTGAATTAAACACAATATATGCACTCCACTATGCTGTTGTAGTATTAACTGTATCTGAAGGTCTTAATATGATTGCTCATATTTCAAGCTATCTTTTTCCCGGCCCCTTGCTTTGGATCATTTTCATCAACCGGCCCCCATTCCAAACTAATTGAATAGCCCTGGTCTACATAGTGCCTTTTTCAATTGAGTCCAATGAGAAAACAGTGCATGCCGTTCCGAGTTGAAGTATTTCAACTTCTCAGAAAAACGCCGGTGACGTCACTGTAGACATTGGATGAAAAGCTTGAAGAGAGTGTGTGACTTTTGTCCTCCTTGCTCTAAGACTTACAGGCAGAGCGGTGAAGCGCATTCAGACAAAGTGTGAGAGCAAGAATCTTCTGGTTGATGATCATAGTGAAAAATATGTAAAATAAATAATATATAGTAGCACAAACAGATGATAAATTCCATACTATTCTGTGTTTAACAGCGGTGATATGTTGTTTGCATATCGCTTTTTTTAACAGAAAAAGACGCTATATGGACACAGGCCTTAGTTGCTCTCCACCTCTGCTCTAAGGAAAAGTTGGCCATTAAATTGCCATGAAGTTTGAACAAATACAAAAAAAGGCATTGTGTTGTTTCTTACGCTGGAAAATGAGGAAAAGCTCCAGAGACATTCACAAAAAGCCATTTCAAAACATGGAGAGATTCACAAACCTTTCAGCATAAAAGCAGCATCTACAAAGATAGCAGGTACTTATTGATTTCTCTGCAGAAACCGAACCGTGTTGAGCAGATTAACATTGTCTTTAGCATCCCATAGTCTCCAATCTTTGGACAATTTGGTGCATTTTGTGTCTCCCATTACATTTTCTTTGAGCTCTCTTCTCCCAATCTCCCCCTTCCCTACTGAAATAGCCTCCCACCCCGCGGAGTGCTATCATATGTTGCAATGTATAGCAGCCAAAAGGGTGAGATCAGAGACTGCTGTGTGGGAAGGGAAACAAATCGACAGTATAATTGCACACACCAGGCTGCCAGTGGCTTAGAAAAAGAAAACCAGCAGATACCATGTAACAAAAACACACACCCCATAACATCTAACGGCTGCACGGAAAGATGAGAGGCGGTGTGTGTGTAGATGTCCGTCTGTGGGTGTGTGTTGGTCTGGTGCTCTCCAAAAGAAGTGCCTCTGTATATCTACAGTATGTGCACAGATGAGTGTGTGTGTGTGTGTGTGTGTGTGTGTGTGTGTGTGTGTGTGTGTGTGTGTGTGAGAAACATGAGTCCACGCCAGCTAAGGAGTGCTTCCATCTGTTGCGCCGGCCTCACACGAGACTCTCTGCTGTGTCACTGGCACTTTACGGAGCCTAAGATCTCCTCAAATGATCCAAGAGCAGATCTCAGCTGACACTAATATCCCGCCTCTCTCTGGGAGGAAGGAGAAGTGGAGCAGAGGAAGTTGACGACGTGGAGGACAATGAGTGGGATAAGAACAGAGATTGTGGGAAAGTTGGATAAGGGAAGGGATGGGAATTTCTCACGAGATACCTGAGTAGTTTGTCCCGGTGCAGGCTCTCAGAGTGTTTCTCACGGGACAGCTGCTCCTCACTCTGTCTCCTCTGCTCCCTGGAGACACAAAGTGCACGGCATGATCACTCTTCAAGTTAGTTCAATTACGATACAGATAGGTGAGACAGCTGAAAATACAATAGTCCTTTCCTCCTTTGCTTCATGTTGTTCACATTAATTGTACCGCCATTTTCACATTCAGGCAGGTAGGAGTATCATATTAAAGAGGACATATTATGCTCATGTACAGGATCAGTATTTTGTTACTCTGCTGTGACATGTCTCCATGCTTTAATGTTCAAAAAGCTCTTTATTTTTCACATACTGCTTGTACTGCAGCACCTCTTTTCACCCTCTGTCTGAAACCAGAGCCCAGTCTGCTCTGATTGGTTAGCTGGTAGGGTCTATTGTGATTTGTCAACTGCTTAGAGATGTCCCGCCCCTAAGCCTATATCACATACAATGTGTTGGAGTGCTAATAGGAGCGTGAGTGTTCAAGTAACAAGTGATATCACTATGTTACAGAAGTTAACAAAGGAGTCCAATGGAGGCGTTTCCGGCAGGTGGGGGAGTGTGGGAGAGAAACTCCCCTCGGAGGAAATACAGGCATAATAGGGCCTCTTTAACACCCTGAGTATGCTTTAACAATTTCAAGTGTCATCGGAAAAGTACTTGAGGAAGATTCCAAATCCATACAACAGCTTTTCTCCACTCCTACGCATGAATCTCCATGTGGAGGAAGCCTAACAATGAAGTCCTCAAATGGGATCAGCCGAAGTTCAAGAATGCTATCTCACAAGTCATTTGGCTTATAAAACGCCATTATTCATTTTACAGCAGATTTCCGTAAGTCATTGAGGGTTTTTTTTCTTCTAAAAAAGATGCGTGCATGTGTGCTGCTATGTTTTTGAAATCACCTCTTCTTTCATGCGCAGCTGCTGCCTCGCTCTTCAGAAAGTAAATTGGAAATCAGTTTTGATTCTAATTCTGCGTGCCATGACAGTATGAAGCACACACAAACACACACACACAAATACACACACACACACACACACACACACAAACACACAAATACACACACAAACAGACTTTACCCTAACCCTCCTAACTCTGTCGGCTTCCCAGCCTAATCCCCTCTGTGGCGGCATGATCAGTTAATGTGTTTTTGTGTGTGTGTGTGTGGTGTGTGTATGTGTGTGTGTGTGTGTGTGTGTGTGTGTGTGTGTGTGTGTGTGTGTGTGTGTGTGTGTGTGTGTGTGTGTGTGTGTGTGTAGCTGGCTGTCTAGCCCTGTGACCTTGCAGCCACACGCGATGAGGATACAGAGTGAGAGGGCTGAGGTCTGAGCTCACAGACAGACAATCTGTTTTCACTGCCAATCGAAAACAGACTGTTGTTTGGGAGTATTTGTACATTTTTACCAAATTAGATTCAGTAAAACAGTCTATAAATAATGTCTTATATTTGCATCTGGGACAGATTGTAAGTCTGGCCGGCTTTCTATGCCTTTATGGTGTGTTACTAAACATCCTGGTGCTGGAGTCCACATATAATGATATTTGGAAGAATGTCAAACACTTTGATAACAATATATTTACATATCAAAAGTGAAAATACAAATAGAGAAAGACAAACTACAAATATCTAGTACCTTGTGACTACATAAATGAAATTGACATGAGTCAAATTGAAACGACATTTCATTATTATTTAATGCACCATAAACTTGAAGTGTGGATCCCGTTGTCCAGTTTTGGCAGAGAGAGTTATTTAAAATTGATGATGCGTTTTCTTAAAGCTGACCGGGTACTCTCATACAGCCAGCAGCTTTTCACAGCTCCAAACATCGCAGCGATATCCCAAAAATCTGTTATTAGGAAAACTAATCATATATTCTGCTGATCTGCTTGTGTAGCTGAAGCACATGGTTTGTACTTTACTCACTACTGCCACTCGTCTTTCCCCGTCTCCCCTCTTTCTGTCTTCAAGGTCAGAGATGACATGATATCTGACTCCCAGCTGCTATTTCCACTAAGATTTATCCTCTGTTCTCCTGTTCATGACCCCTTTTTTTTTTTAAAGGTGAAGAGGGAGTTAGAGAAAGATAAATGTGAAACAGGCGGGGGTGTTTTGTATTAAACTATAAGGCGCCGGGTTCAAAGTGCAGTCAAGTGCACCGAAGGAGTGGCGGAGCACTTTGGGTATTTTGTGGCTGCAGGCATGAGGTGTACATGGAAACAAGGTGAGATTAAGAAGAATCTATTATCATACATTGTCAGTGTGTCAGTGGGCGTGTTACGGGCACGTTAATAACAGGTTCTTGAGGGATTTCAGAGTAAAATTCTCTGCAGTATTCATGGAGATGTGACCTCAAGACGTCACTGCCTCCACTTGCAATGTAGATTAATGCATTTTAACCAATCAGAGTAACGTGTTTACGAGTGAACACGTTGGCTGTTTGCGCAAGACTTAGTCAAGGTAACCACATTGGATCTGGCATGCGTAATCACAGCTTGACAACACGCGTCACTCAAATTACAGACTGCAGATGAGAGTTATCAGATGTTGGAATGATACATGATGATAAGAATCAACTATTTATCTTCACTATACATTTTTGTGTCATTAACAGGCTTGGGGAGTACTGGATTACATGTAATGGGATTACCTAATCAGGATACAAAAAGGAACTGTAAATAATGTGAAATTTAGATTAGATTACTTTTTTTTTTAATGGTAACGGATTACATTTTTAAAGTAACCGTCACAACCCCTGTAATATAGATGTGGCCGTGGTGGGTCAAAAAATGTATCGTAAATGTGGGTGTGTCTTTTTAAATTAAAGCATGGTTTGCTGATCCAGTTTGAGCACACGGTAAACAACATGATGTTTCTGTGACACCGAAATTATAAGTACTAGAAACACCCTGCTGAGCCTCTCCTCCCATTGTGGTGTATGGCAAGTCACCAAAATGCCAAGCAGCCACATGAGAGGGTACAACACCACTCTGCATTTCAGGAAAATACAATTTTGTGTGCAGCATGTGCTCACATGATAACAGAGGGACAAGAGGAGAGTTGTTTTAAGCTGAGACAGAAAGAAGAAAGACTTCCTCCTTCCTGAAGGGCTTTGAGTGATTTAATGTGAGATAAACAGGGGACTGAGGTGAGGGAGGAGGAGGTGTGTGTGTGTGTGTGTGTGTGTGTGTGTGTGTGTGTGTGTGTGTGTGCAAAAGACAAGATCTCGTTGGAAATGAGGTCCTTGGATACACCCTGGGATCAATAGTTGTTTAACTGCCAACAGTCACACACACAATGCATACCTCACACTTTAGTGCACACACACACATACACAAACACAAACACACACAGCCTTATGAAAACAAGCTGCATCACATCAATCACATCAATGCTTTACTATTCCTCTCTTGACCTTCACTCATTCCATCATACACTCTTTCATCTCCACTGCCTTGCTCAGTACATCTATCCTGTCTTTCATCTCTCCCTCGCTTCCCTCTAATCCATCCTTTCAACCTGGCCCGCGTCTGTGTCGGATGATCCATGTGTTCATCCTCTGATGAAAGGATGAGCTCAACGTCTCCTGCCAATCAGAAGGCAGCAGGAAGCATCCCGACACGTACATGTCATCCAGACGTCGCAGGGAGGGGTTAGTGACGCTCACTATGATCCCTTTTTGACAAATGCTGTCACCAACAACCCCCTTCTTTTACCACATGCAAGGCAAACCACGACAAAAAACTGTCAAGAATGCAAAAGATGTGTGCGAAAACGCAAATGCAGGAAAATGTCCGGTTTATTCAAGATGTGAACAAAGTCGCTCAATGTCCGGAGAAGAGAAGAAAATTGGTTGATTGTGACCCAGATTACAAACCATATATGTGCTGCTCAGAGATGTCCCGCCCCTTAGTCTATCACGCACAATGTGTTGGAGCACTAGCCAATAGAAGCGCAAGTTTTACATAGTGATGTCACTATGTTCCGTAAGTAAACAAAGTAGGCGTTTCAAGTAGGGGGGGAGAGTGTGGCAGAGAAACTCCCTCTGGAAGGAACACAGGGATTTAGCCATTGCAGACCATTTACAAAGTTCGAGAAATAAAACATCCAGGGGCAAAATCAAGATAAAAAAACGAGCTTAAAGGTCTTGAAGATTGTTGAAGTATATTTGTGTGTGCGTGTGCGTGTGTGTGTGTGTGTGTGTGTGTGTGTGTGTGTGTGTGTGTGTGTGTGTGTGTGTGTGTGTGTGTGTGTGTGTGTGTGTTAAGTGTCATGACAAACAAGCTGCCCTTGAGTGTCTCTGGCATGCTGATCAGATTGCACACTCGGATCAGAGGGATTCCTCAGTCCGCCCCTCAAATATGTCTGTATGTGCGTTTCCAAGGCAACGCGACTGGCGCCACAGAAAAACCGAACAGGTGCGGAAAGCCGATGTTTGATGGACGTGGGGGGGGGGGTCAAAGGTTGGGCGGTTGTGATGGCAACGCCTCATGCACACAAACAAACTGGTACCTTTTTTGTTCTTGGATCCGGAGAGAGGATCACATGCAGGTTTGAGAAGCTATAGAAATTATGTATGGTGAGAATCACACACACACACACACACACACACACACACACACACACACACACACACACACACACACACCACACACACCACACACACACACACACACACACACACCACACACACACACACACAACACACACACACACACACACACACACACACACACACACACACACACACACACACACACACACACACACACACACACACACACACACACACACACACACACACACACACACACACACACACACACACACACACACACACACACACTAAGAGAGACTGTTTAAACATACGACCAATCAGAATTAACTGGACAGTGAAAGGACGGTTAGCCAATCAACTGAGACATCTCGTCTAGACCTGACTGGGGAGATTTATTTATTTCCGACTCAAAACGTTGCAAGAAGCTCCAAACACAACGGAAACCACGGGTTTCTTATGACTGAAATGAAATTGACTTGACTTGAATTATAACAACATACAAGTATTTATGTTATATTTGCCAAAATTAAGCAAAAAGTTACAACTTGAATTAAAAGCACTAGAAAGGAGAGTTGAGTGACTCAGAAATATGTGAGCCTCTGTTTCCCCTCTCCTCAACCCTTGTAACACACCCGCCTCCTTATCCTGCTCCTTCACCTCCTCCCCCACTTCTCCACACACACACACACCTCATCATGCAACATAGCCTTAAGGCTGATTCTCCCTATAGCATATGTCCACATGTCTGGGTGGGTCGCGTGCGACTGCAAACATCCCCTCCATCATCCCCGTCTCAGACCTGATCCCTCACCCACCCACACACCCACACACACACACACACACACACACACACACACGCACATACACGAAAAAGGGCTAAGGGGAAGGGGGTCACCATGGGTTTCTTTAGTAACAGAGGGTTTTGGCTATAAGCACTTTCCTTTGACTTAAACTAAGTTGACAAGCCTATCACGTACAATGTGTTGGAGCACATGCCAATAGAAGTACAAGTGTTCCGTAGTAATGTTTTTCTATCTTTCTGTAAATCAAGCTGGCCAACATTCGCTATCTATCTACCTATAGTTAGCTAGCTTACAATAGCTACCATATAACAAGCTAGCAAGTGTAAGCTATATAGCTAGCTAATGCCAAATTGGTGGCTCTAATTTAAATCGGAATTATTATTCAACACACTATGATTAGACCTGCTATGTGGACCTGTCTTTACCATAGTACTGTATGTCATCTTGGTCATGCTTATAAAGTTATTCGAATTTCAGAGAAAGAGAGAGAGAGAGAGAGAGAGAGAGAGAGAGAGCATAATCAGTCATCTTTAAAGGTCAAAAACAAAGATGTTTGACAAAAGAATTAGGAGAGAAAAAAAGTGACTGATGAGGAGGTTAAACAGGAAGGAGGAAACATTAGTGAGTCTGTCAGGTCAAGTAGTCCTTTAATGTTGTGATTATCAGATAGCAGCAACATTTAACATTTACTCCCTCTGTGAGTAGGAGGACGTGTGTGTTCTTGTCTGTTTTTGTGTGTATGTGTGCGCTTTTGAAGTGGTTAATTTCTTCAGATCCTGAATGAGGTCACTGCAACAAGATTAAAAAAGCATCCTCTTTCCTCCGCTTAAGAATAACACTATAACTCAGAACGGGAGACATGTGCAAACATTTTTGAAAGTGTTCAGTGCAAACAAGTGTCAGGAGATGACCCAATATGGAATCATTTATCCATCTGGAGTTTTTGGGAGTATATAAACTTCAACTTTTCTAAATAGATTGCCAAGCTTGACCTCAACAGTGATCAGCTCAGTGTTCTCCTGCTTGTGATAACAGTAGATAAGAGGTCGTTACAGACACGGTTGTACATTGGCCTTTTCTTCCAAACTAAAAACATTTGATGTTCCTGTGCTGAGCCATAATTTATCCAAGACTCCTATTATCCTTAAGGTCAACTTGACCCTTTCATTGTTTAAAATCTCAAAATAAGTACTTAACATCGTTTTGGGGATAACTGGGTAAACACGGGTTGTCTCTATGTGACTGCTTTACTTACTTTACAGATTCATATGTTTTACTCAAAATACCAAACAGATCACCCATTCTATGCCTCATATCCCTCTATTTCACTTCCTGTTTCAAAAGTGCTGATTTGGGTATAAAGCTTTAAAAAAAGAAAAATTGATAAAAAAAAGGGGAGGGGGCTGAGCTCATGCGGGACCCGGCAGCTACTGTCTAAACTAAATACTGCGGTGATGAAACGCCATATCATGGATTATCAAGGATTATTTCTGAAACAGTATGGAGCTCAAAGGCTTTCTCTCTTGCCGGTTATACCACAAGGTGAGTTCCTTATTATTTCCTGCTTCTTCACACACATGCTCTCCAGTACAGGTTAGCTCTGAGTGTTAGCGATGCTAATGTAAACATGCACCGACCATATTACGTCCAAAACAGTCGGGCATTGTTTCTGATAGCAACGTTTCTGATAGTGCCGTGGGTGTAAAGCCAGCCTACATTTCAGATATTACGTCATATCGGACGCAAATCTGGATCAGCTCCGTTGTAGCCCCGTTTTTAGAGATTTGGGTACGGAGGAAAAGAGAGAGGGTTTTATTTTCTGACGCTGCGTGAGTTCCCCGACACACCGGGGACACATATTTAAGTATAAAAGACATCAAAAAGTGCATTTTGCATGATAGGTCCCCTTTAAAGTTAGCGCCACATTCACCAGCTGTGATGAACACATGAATGCATCAATAATGAAAGCTAAATGCTCACAACGATAGTGCTAACATCATCATGTTTAGCAGTTACATGTTTGTCATGTTCACATTCTCAGTACTTAGCTCTTTAGCATGCTAATGTATGCTAATCTGGGGCCCAATTATGCTCATTTTCAGGTTCATATTTGTATTTTATTTCTCTCCTGTGACATAAAAGAATGTATGATGATCTATATAATTGGTTTGATATTTAAAGAGGCATTATTCTGCTAATTTTCAAGTTCATATTAGTATGTAGTTCCTCTACTGGGACATCTCTCCGTGCTTCAATGTTCAAAAAGCTCTTTATTTTTCTCATACTGCCTGTGCTGCAGCACCTCTTTTCACCCTCTGTCTGAAACCAGAGCCCAGTCTGCTCTCATTGGTTAGCTGTCCTCACGTTGAATGTGTTAGAGTGCTAACCAATAGAAGCGCTGTTACATAGTGATGTAAGGTATGTGTGGGATAACAACTTTGGGATTTTGGCCTTTGCAGACCATTTACATGTGAACCAATAGTCAAGACATTTCACAACATGTCAACCTCATGGTGGCGCTAGAGGAAAAGTCAGCAGGATTCATCCATCACTATGTGTTCAGGATGTGTGTGTGCGTGCGTGTGCGTGTGCGTGTGTGTGTGTGTGTGTGTACATCTGTGCCCGCAGGTCCAGGTGAAAATGAAAACAAAATGGCAAAATGTTTTAAAACTAATAGAGCTTCGTCATCAGCATATTTTCAGAAGCCACAGGGGCATATTAGTTCCCTAAACCCCTGACTAGACCTCTGTGTGAGTGTATACAAGTCCAATCCTCTGTTGTTGCAGCTTAGCGGGCTCGGTATGTGGAACGTGAGCATTTCCTGGTTCGGGCGGCGCCTGTGGGGCTGTTTGAATGGTTTGATTGGTGGAGGACAATTATACGGAGAGCCAAGCCCTGCGGTGAACTGTTCTTCACCCGACATACTCCACATACCAAAATCCACCTGCGTCCCCATCTGTGCATATGCATGTTTTTAGTAAATGTGTGTGTTGCCACATACTTGTAGACACTTACATCAGCTGCTGAGTTAGGCGCTCTTCCTCTTCTCTCATTTTCTGCAGCTCCACACTGGAATGCTTCAGCTCCCCTGTCAGCACTGCACACACACATTCACATAGATTACAAAGCTTGTCACCAGAGGTTACACGGTATAATTTACAGAAAGAGACAGACAGGTACAGTAGGCAGAGCTTTTCAATCACATTGGTACTTCACAGTTGAGCAATGTAGGAAACCCTAAACCACATGAAACTATCTGTGACAGGATTGTAAGGAGGAACAAAACAAGAGGAACAAACGAGAGACAGAATTTCCAGACAGAAACCTGAGAGAACCTCAAACAAGAGCTGGAGAAGGCTTGAAAAAAAAGGTGGGGATTTGAGACACAAGCGAGCTGTTGAAAATGAAAAGGCCAGGGGGAGCAGAAGGAGGGGAGTGTGTTGAAAAGAAGGGAGTATGAGGGAGTTTGTGCTCAAGGGAAATCGTGAAACTGAACACCTCTGATTATTGTTGTGCGTCTGACATAAAGTAGCTGCTACTGTTTCCTCCCTTCACTGTCTGTCTGTCCATTTTCACCTCAAAAAGGTGTGTACAACTTGCAATAAAAAAAGATACCATGAGCAGGATCTATGATCGTGAAGAGAAGTGAAATACTAAACAAACCAATGACTTGACTAACAATATTGATTTAAAATAAAAATGTTTTGATTTAAAAATGGTAGTATTTGCTTCCTCTAAGATAAAATAGAAAAAAGTTCCACTGCGTTCACTTTAATGTTTACTTCCTGTCTGTCTACTTCTGTTGTTTCTCTGACGTCCAGCTCTCTGTCTTTTAACCTCTCCTTCTCCTCTTTTTCTTTCCTTAACCTGGGATAGTTTAGCCATGATGAATCCAAAGTTTCATTTTCTCCAAAAATATAAAAATACATATTTTAATAGTATTCCACTGTGTTTTCTGACTGATGAAAACAAGCGTTTGTGGTCCACAGCTGACGTTAAATTGACCGAACATCTTTCTGCGGATTGATATGACAGCACATAGTCCCTTGATAAGAGTGTCCTACTTAGCAACGGTATACTATCGAAAATGTCTGTCTAGAAATGTCCAAATTGACAAATCAGAATGGAGTATTCAACTAATTTGAGTAAGCATGTAGTCGGCTTTATATGTCAAATTTCTCCTTGCTTGAATCTGAACCTGCTTTTATATTCAATGGTAGGTAGCGTCCTTTTGCTGCACGTTCATCAGGTTTCCAGGCTGGTGAATGCATTTATTAAAAAACAGACCTGGAAGAAATGCTTAACTGCAATATTTAAGTCCTGTGTCAGGCCAAAAATGTATCACAGTGTAGCGCTGGACCTGCTGCAGCTGAGGGCAGGAGTAGATATCACGCAAGAGAAAAGCACTTAAGTACCAGGTCTGAATAGTTAATAACTAAAGACACGCCACGATTTTCAGGAAACACCACTTTTGTTTTGCAGGTAACTGTCTCTGGTAGAAATATCTGATTACAGGCTTCTGTCTTCTTATAAGTGAGAAACTCAAAATAAGAAACATTCAAAATTGGCTGAATCACCATCAAGATTTATTTCCACTATCTTCAACAGTAGTCAGATCTAGTGTTTTGGCAATGTTCACAGCTAAGAACAATATCATTAAGCAGGATGCATGTTACGTTTTTAGGACAAAAACGTTGATTTGCATGAAGCACGGATAAAGCACAGGCATTTATCAGTTAGTGTACACAATGATATTGAGTACAACTAAAGTGTATCCGGCCAATTATACAAAATTCAGTCAAATGCCCAATTCTTCGATATTTTTAAGCTACTGTCTTAGCTCTGATGCTTGCTGGGACTTCACTGAGCCCACGAGTGTGGATCAGCCTCCCTGACGACAACTTACTCTTAGCTTTTAATTTAATTGTATTTATTCTTATTTTATTTTATTTATTCTTGTTTTATCCAGTCCTGTGTTGGTTTTAAGTGTTCCTATGAATCACAAAGCTGTGTTAATACCTTGTAAGTGGAGGTGAGTATTGTTTTTATTTTATTTTTTATTTTTGAAGCACCCTATGTTACCTTTGTGTATGAAAAAAAGAAGCTATATAAATAAAGTTTTATTTTATTTTATATTAACATTAGCATTAGCCTTCCCTTACTGTTATACAAAACAAAAAACCCCAAATGGCCGGCAGACGGTTCCATGTGGGTGTTAAGTTCTTTGCATGGCTAGCAGTGTGGGTAGTGGAGTGGGTCAAAGAAGTATTATGTGTGTGTTTGTGTGTGTTTGTGTGAGTGAGTGAGTGTGTGTCTACTGTGTGTTGAGAGAGTGCCTGTGAAGGTCCTCTAGCACTCTGGACGGCTCTCAAAATGATCCAGTAATGTCAGCCTGACATTTGTGAGATTTTGTTTTCCACGTTCTCTCTTTCTCCCTCATATTGTCTTTCCTCCTTCTCTCCACGGGTCTCTCTCCTCTCAATCTTTCTTCATCAATGTTTCCTCTTCCTCTCTTTCTGTGGCTATATTTCTCTCTTCCCCCCCCCCCCCCCCTCTCTTTCTCTCTTGCTCTCTCAGCAGGAAGAGGGGAGTGTGGGAGGTTCAGCTCAAAGCGGCAATACACCGATAATTGCTTTCTGGTCACTGTGACATGACAAAGTCCGCCAGGGTAAGGCAACACATACACACTAACACACACTCAATTTTCCGACACTCAGAAACTCACACAGACTCACACAATAAAAACAACACCGGTGAAATCATCAGCACAGAGAACCACTTGCAGAAAGACCAGAAAACACAAAAAACACAAAGTAACAGACATGTCCAAACATAATTAGTTATATAAAAACTTGATAGACTTGTAAACAGCATGTCTGACGTTCTCTCCAGAGCTTCCATTATGTGTCACAGGGCTTACATACGATAGATGTTAGAAAGAGATCTGGATACAGCGCTGGAGGCGGGGCCCTGTTTATTGTTATGAAAGTTGCTCAGTGGCGTATGAAACCAAAACTCGAGAACGAAACTACCCGTATCTTCCGACGATATCCCGCATCCACTCATAGAGCCCATGGAGGATGCAGACTTGCGTTTGATTCCGTCAAATGAAGGGAGAGAGACAATGACTATTTTAGTACATTTTACAACTTTAGGCCATTATGATTTAAATAAGGGCTATTCAAGAGTTCACCCTGGCAAGTTCCTTTACGTAAAAACTACAGCTAGCTTGACACCAAGGTTTGGTAAGTGTTTATAGTATTGTTCCTGGGCAGGTAACTTGGAGTGATGCAGTTGAAGTATTATCAAGTCAATCTCAGCATATCTTTGACTTATTGTCCAGTCCTGAGTAATGAAACACTGAGGAAGGTTTTTAGTGAGTGAATATCTGATAACTTTATATATTTACGGCAACACCATCACCAGAATTAGCCATGTTTCCATGCATTGACACAGCAATACAACAGGAAACAGTCCTTGTTAAACAAATCTGATTGGTTGTAGACTAATCTAAAAGCATCCAATATTCTCAATGATTTCATAAGTAGGGCTCTCATTAGCTTTTAGATAACCATAAGGCAGCTAAGCAAGGATACTTGGAAGACAAAGAAATGCTAATGACAACAAGTCTCAGCTAAAATTAGCAAACTGATATTGTAGGGTTCAGTGAAAACACGAAAATCAAAAAGAGTTGTCGGTGTCACATGATAGAAAGGGCTATATTGTATATACATTTTCTGACTTTAATCTACAAATTACTGTGAATAGATTCCAAGAAGGAAGTACCACAAACTTATTGTCCCTAATTTACTATGTTCTGCAATAACATAAACTATCAATTAAAAGGAGACACACCCGGCGCCTCAGGTATGCTGAGATTTACATGATATGAGTCAATGTAAAGGGAGCTCACTGTAACTACACCCTGTAAATCACCTTCGCAGTAACCTATTAACACCTGGGAATTCTTACGAGAGACCATATAACTATAATATCACATTCTTCAGTGGTCGGGAACCACAAACATTTTTGGGTGTCTGCCTAGTTTATTATGTGCAATAAAAGCACTTCTATACCACAGAAAAATTGTAAAAGAACATACAAGTGCACGATTGGAGAGAGTGTGGAAATACTTTGGAATTTACCATTTGTCCTCCCAGAGAGAAAGTAGTGCCCAACTAACAAAGAAACATGTTTTATAACAATATAGCTCTTTCTTGGACAAAACAGAGAATTTATTTTCTCCATCGCCGGGCGAGGAGACCGGCTCTTCTCCTGTTTTTTACATCTGTGATTTAGAGTGCTCAAAGATTGTAGGTCAACCTTTTGAGAAACGATGAATCAGCCGACCATAACAACATACTAACATTGTCTCTGAATATTAACTGTTTCCATCAAATCAGAGATACATGGTCGCACAATTTAATGAAGTTCAACTGAAGCCTCTTTTGTGCACCATTTAATCTTTAAATTAAATACAGTTAAATCCCAGGTCAAATGTACGTTAGAGTGTCTTGAACATGTTGTTTTCAGTGATGGTTATAGTTTGTTAAATGTCTGTTTCCTTGTCACTTGTCTTAAAATGTGTCCTAGTTTTTGATGTTGCAAATGGAGCTGCTGTGATGCAAGAACCATTTCAGAGTCAATAGTTAAGTAGCAATCATAAAATGACATTTCTTCATAAAAAAACACTGAACTTCGCTGAATATTATTTTGTATTATTCATTTTTATTTTCCTTTTAGTCTCAAACTCTCTTCTTATTAATAAATATATATACATATATTTTCTATATATATATATATCTTTATTTTAATTTTGCACTTGGATTTAAGGTTTATATGATAAGAAGTATTTCTTATGCTGCGTTCACACCGGACGCGATGCGACTATTCGCTTCGCTCTAATCGCTCCTATCGCATCGCTCTAAACGCTGGAGGTTCACCGCGGCTGCCAGCTGTGTTTACTCGCATCATTCAAACAAGACGCGCTGGCTCGGGAGCTACAACTACAACAAATGAACATATTTTACCGTGAATAAATTGTAATACACGTTTCTAAATGATGCCGAAGTAACAACATACTGATACCGGTTAGTAACAACCATGAATTAATGCTTTGACAAGTCTGCAGACAAGACGGCAGGCAAAACACCTTTTAAAATGCTTGTTTTCTGAATGAAGATCGGGTCAACCAGGCTAAGCTAACGTTGTATATGCTCATTCCACACTCACAACAACGGCCTACAGACACAAATAAGCAGCGACTGTATTCACCATGACACAGACAGTCTGTGGTTTGTACTTGTTTAACTTTTGTCCAGTTTCTGAACGGATATGAGGAGCTGTGAGCTCTGTGTGCTAACTGCTAACAGCTAACGGCTGATGTTGTGTGGTTGAACGTCAGTGACGGCGGCTGAGATCCTCACCGCTGATTGGCTTCCGCGAGAACGCGTCATGTGAATTTGACGCTCGAGTTGAAAAAATTGAACTCTCGCGTTTAACGCGGCACCGTTCAATCGCCTCAATCGTGTGATTCGCGCCGCGTCCACCGCTTCATGCGCGCCGTCGGAGCGAATTCGCGTCTGTCCACGTCTCTGCATTGACTTTACATGTAATCGCGCCGCCCCCAAACGTCGCATCGCGTCCGGTGTGAACACAGCATTAGTGTTATGTCAAAAACATTGGTTTGTATTCTGATCGAAGAAACAGCTATGGACAAGTAAGGAAAAAGTAAGGGGAAAAAAGACATGGAGACAAACAGGAAAACTCTTACTGAGAACTTATTTGATGTTTTTTTTTTAATTGCTACTGTCAAACACACACATCAACTAACACACACATACAGTACAAACTAACACACACATACAGTACAAACTAACACACAAACTAACACACACATACAGTACAAACTAGCACACACATACAGTACAAACTAACACAAACATACAGTACAAACTAACACACACATACAGTACAAACTAACACACAAACTAACACACACATACAGTACAAACTAGCACACACATACAGTACAAACTAACACACACATACAGTACAAACTAACACAAACATACAGTACAAACTAACACACACATACAGTACAAACTAACACACAAACTAGCACACACATACAGTACAAACTAACACACACATACAGTACAAACTAACACAAACATACAGTACAAACTAACACACACATACAGTACAAACTAACACACACATACAGTACAAACTAACACAAACATACAGTACAAACTAACACACACACACATTACAAACTAACACACACATACAGTACAAACTAACACACACACACAGTACAAACTAACACACACACACATTACAAACTAACACACACATACAGTACAAACTAACACACACATACAGTACAAACTAACACACACATACAGTACAAACTAACACACACATACAGTACAAAACTACACAAACTACCACACACATACAGTACAAACTAACACACATACAGTACAACTAACACACACATACAGTACAAACTAACACACACATACAGTACAAACTAACACACACATACAGTACAAACTAACACACACATACAGTACAAACTAACACACACATACAGTACAAACTAACACACACATACAGTACAAACTAACACACACATACAGTACAAACTAACACACACATACAAAGTTAGCTTCCGGGTAAAAAGATACCGTATAGTGTAAGGATAGCCCAGGGTGTTGGCAGACGGCTGCGGTTCAGGATTCACACACACACACACACACACACACACACACACACACACACACACACACACACACACACACACACACACACACACACACAACACACACACACACACACACACACACACACACACACACACACACACACACACACACACAACACACACACACACACACACACACACACACACATACACACACACAAACACACACACACACACACACACACAACAAACACACCACACACACACACAACACACACAAACACACACACACACACACACAACACACCACACACACACACACACACACACACACACACACACACACGTCATAGCCTTTCACCTGATTTCCCTGTCAACCCTCAACCTCTTTTTCACATTGAAAGAACACTCTCTATCCACCACCTTCAGATCAAGCTGTACAAGTCTCCTGCTGACATCTGCACAGAGTGAGCAGAGATGGATTATGTTTTCAGCCCTCAGTGCTCGTCTTGTTCTCGGTAAAATTCCACATCCCTTGAGGTTGTTCTCTCGTTCTCCTCCCTCTTCTCCTCCACCTCACCGTAAACCACATTCATCTGTTCACATTAGGCAACCTCCTTGTGTTTCTCTCTGTCCTTTCTTCCCCCTCACCTTCTCCTTTTCTTTTGCTGTTAGACGCTAACCACAGAACGCTGACAGACAGGTAGCACATGGTTTAATTGCCGGTTAACACCCATATCACTCCGGAGTTAGATGCTGGTGACGGGCTAAGGTGTGTGCTTTGTTAAAAACTGCAACTACAAATGTTTTCACACATTCTCGCTGGATATAGACCCTTTTCTACGGAAATACAGGCAAAAAGTATTACAACTAATAACGGGGCCCGATAATGCTTTTTGGGGTTTCCCTTTCTTATAGTGAGTAAAGAGGTTTTTGTGTACAAGTAACTCCATGTTCTACTTTGGTAGAGTACTTAAGTAAATGTACCTCCACCAGTGGTATTTCTACACTGTGGTTTTACTTTAGTAAATTATCTTCCACCTCTGCATTTTGAGGAAGTGTAAACGGACAGACTGTGAAACTGAGATTTAGACGGATGAGAGTCATTTAGAGGACATCCACACAGAGTTATGTAACGCAGAGCTGGACATGAAAGAGAAACGTTGGAAATAAAATCGAGGCAAAAAGAGCAAATAATCTCTGAGAAGGAGTAAATATTAGTTTAACTGCAGCGTCGACTCTTCTAGTTCTGAGGGCAGCACCCACAATACAGGACTATAATGAGTGTGTGTAAATGTGTGTTTATAGTCGCTGCACAAACTCCTGTAACCTTTTAAAGAGATGAAGGAATGTGTATGTGTGTGTGTGTTTGAGGGTAAATGTGTAAATACTGTCATCTGATGAACATTTTAAAGAGACTGCAAGTGAGAGGAGAAGGCTGTGTGTGTGTGTGTGTGTGTGTATGTGTATGTGTATGTGTATGTGTATGTGTATGTGTATGTGTGTGTGTGTGTGTATGTGTATGTATGTGTGTGTATGTGTGTGTATGTGTGTGTATGTGTGTGTATGTGTGTGTGTGTGTGTGTGTGTGTGTGTGTGTGTGTGTGTGTGTGTGTTCTTAGTTGACAGTAAATACCCGAAGCAGAGCTCACCCCAGGCTCACCTCATGGGTGGGTCTGCACGTTCTAAACAGCTGCCAAGTGTGTGTGTGTGTGTGTGTGTGTGTGTGTGTGTGTGTGTGTGTGTGTGTGTGTGTGTGTGTGTGTGTGTGTGTGTGTGTGTGTGTGTGTGTGTGTGTGTGTGTGTTAGGGAAAGAGGGAGGGAACCGGTTTTGATAGAGGAAGAGGAAGAAAGCAGTCTGCTGTTTGTAGTGATGCCGTGTGAGTGTGTGTTTGTTTAGTGACGCGAGCATGAAAGGCAGCTGCTGCACGAATCGACACATGCAATAAAATACACACCCAGGAATGCACGCATGCAGACACACACACACACACACATATATATATATATATATATATATATATCCCCGCATGAACGCAATACATTAAACACATACACCTTTCTCTTTTTCCAAACCAATCTTCTCACACTTTCAGAAACTTAAGTTAGGGTTAATTCATGCTTTATCTTTTTGTCTGTTGTGCCTTATCTAGATAAAGGTGTCTTGTGTGGTCTCCCAAAAGGCAAGTATTTGTAGCACAGGTAAAACAAATCTATGAACTGTGTTTACCTAATCAGGATACAAACAAAAGTAACTGTATTCCCTAACAGTTACATAAAAAAGGATATAAAACTGATAACTGGTACATGTGTTCAATAATAACACGTAGGATTACTGTACAATGTTAACATACTAATTTAAAATAATTATATATTGTAGGTATGTGTGTGTGTGTGTGTGTGTGTGTGTGTGTGTGTGTGTGTGCGTGTGTGTGTGTGTGAGAGTATTACCTGAAAACACCTGTGTGCTGTGCTGCAGTATCTGGGATCTGAAGGCCTGCCAGGCCCCTGTCAGCTGGCTGAGGAAACCCCGTACGTCTGTGAGCTCGCTGCCAGAGGCCCGGAGCACGGAGAGAGTCGATCGCAGGGCCTGCCGCTGCCGCACACACACTCCTCTGACACACACAAACACACAGCATTTCATTATTGTAACCTCAATTAATTGACAGTACTTCATCTGCCAACATGTCCGAACATCTTACGGGAGCTGTCACATAGAGATTGGCACAGGAGTGTTGATAGCCTCCCAGGTAGCTGCTAACAAGAGCTATTAATTTGACAAGTGTGTGAATAAGACGACGTTAGCCATTAAAGGTGTGGTTGTAGCTGGAATTCCAAACTGTTGAGGAAATTCTTCGGGCAACTCTCTCTTACCCCCTTCTTAACAAAGACTTTGACTTTTAATCCCCACATGCTCCGGTGGAGTTTAACAGTGTGTACGAGCAGAAAGCTCTGGTGTGAATGTGTGTAACTGTGTGCCTTTCTGAAAAAGAGCAGACTGTATGTTCTGTGAAAACTCTCCCTGGATAAGTTTTAAAAATTCAGCTGCTTCCTCGTTCAATCATGCAAAGAGTGTTGCCTCGTATGTACTGTAAATACTATATTTAAAGTGTCCTGCTTGTCAAAACCTAAAGCCTCAAATATGCAGTTGAGTCTGATGGTGACTGACCTTAAACTACTTGTGTGACGTTCGAATGTGTGAGACAGTTGTTTATGGAGGTATGTAGACGACACACACGTGTTATTGAAGTCTGCAAGTCAAGATTTGAGGATGTAAAGATTCCCATAAGCAGGATCAGGTTTGAGAGTGCCTTTCTTATTCTATGTTACGATACAATAATACTTTATTGACAGATCAAGTTTGAGATATTTCACAGCAGCTCCATTTGCAACAATATTAAGACAAGAAACATGAGATACACATTCATACAGGAGTGGTGCAGGAATGAGTCGGTTCCCTCGTCTCAAAGTCAAGGTTTTTTTAAATGTGTTTGCATTCAGCAGCCTGAGTAAGGTGTGTGGTTAACAACACAAGCTGAATAGATGCTCACAAGACTACTTTTTATAATAAAATACTGACACCAAAAATGTCTTTGTCACTTTGATGTGCCACATATAATGTTAAAACAGGGTTCAAACAGGATGACCTTGAACAGATGACACACTGCTTTCAGTTTGAGCTTGCATTTAAATGAGACGAGTAGCTAATAATGAATAAATATAAAAAAATGATGAGACTGTAGTCACACAATCCTCCTTGTTATGTTCATGATTTTCTGTGGAAATTTAATTCTGTTCGTACAACGTGTTTGAACGCTCTAAAATCTAAAACGTTTTATTTTGTAATCCATAGAAAACAAGAAATTCAGAATTAAAAACAGAAAAAGAAAGCAGGACATGAAATAAATAAAACAGTTGAATGTCAGACTGATGTAACCGGCATGTCCTCAGAAAGAGGGCACAGCCATGTTTTACAGCACTCTCCCTCCTCCATCTCTCTCTCTCAAAGAAATATGTTCAGACCAAAAGTACTTTGAGCAACATGACAGATCATCGAGTCACACACACACACACACACACACGTGCACGCACACACACACATGCTGAATGGAGTCACAAATCCATGCAAAGAGCGTGGACGTGGAAAACTAAAGTGCCGGAATAGAACATTCTGTTATTCCAAGAACACTTTAGAAGCTACATGTGGGCGAGAGCACAGTGAACAGTTTCCAATTTTTATACACACACACACACACACACACACACACACACACACACACACGGAGTGATGGAAAGTAGCTAAGTACATCTGTTCAATACTTCATTATCTTATGCACAATAAGTACTATTACTTTAAGTTTATTTTTGATGCCAATACTTTTGTACTTTAACTTATGTAACATTTTTTATGACTTTTACTTGTAACAGAGTATTTTTACTTTTACTTAAAGATTTGAGTACTTCTTCCAACACTGCGCACCAGGGAGATGGATATGAATTTAAAGGGGACTGATTTTTTTTTTTTTGGGGTGTCCTTTCCTGTAGTGTGTTATATGTTATATAGCCCCTTAAAATCTGGATTAAAAGTAAAAAAAAATTATCATCAAAATATACTTGGTAAGTACTGAGTACTATTTCTGCAGAAAGGCCCATATCAATATAGTGTAAAGAAACATATTTTTAGCTTAATGTACTTGTGTACTGTATCAAAGGATAAGTAGTTATATACACAGTGTTATATTATCGTGGTTATTATATCAACCTTTTTAATCACTAAAAAAATCTAACAGCAGTTGAATGTTGCAATGTGGAGACCATTTTATGTATTTCAGAAAATACACATTGATCAGTTGTAAAGTAATACATGTAATGATATATGTTTGAATATGTAAAATAAATCAGTAGCTATAAGTGTTGGGGATTAAAACAAACAATATCTGCCTCTGAAATGAAGTGGAGTAGAAGTTTAAAGAAGCATACATTGGAAACACTCAAGAAGAGTACAAGCATGTAAAAAAAAGTACGGTTCTTGAGTAAATGTACTTAGTTACTTTGCCAAACTTCACACAGGTACACACACACTCACACCTGCACGAACACACACTAGTTTTGATACTCACAGGCAAACTCATGTATAAGTCTGGTCTTGCGTGCAGAGTGACAGTTTGAGTTTGTGAGCGCACAGCAGGGGTGAGTGGTTGTTGTTTTTCTTTTCCAGGGTTTGTGGCTTAAGGTGATCAAAAATGAACGGGATGAGAGGGGAGACTCTGAGCTTCTCCTTGAGTGTGTGACATAAATCATAAGGCTGACAGCACCAAATGGAGGAACAGATATGAGCCAGATCTGTCAAAGGTGATGAGGCCAAGATAGTGAAAACCAGAGAGGGAGAGAGTGGGACTGCATGCCTTTGCTCTCTCCATGGTTTCCTCATTTAGCAACTTTCCCCGTCAGCGGCCTGATTGAAAGGCACATCTCATCTCTCCCACTCTCTCCTCCCTCCTCTCCTGTCACGTCTCTTGCCAGTGGATCAGCTGATTTCACTCCTGTGTTTTTCCATTCCCTCTTTTATAGTTTTTTCCTCTATCATCTCACACAGTTGTTTCCCATCTGCCCTGGCCTTCCTGTCAAGCATCTGGTCAAGGAACTGACAGCCAATCAGGAGGATGCAGACTTTTTCATCTTTTGTTCTTGTGTTACATCTTTAGCTTTACTAAACCTTGGAAATTGTCAAAAAATGAGGTCATATGACTTTTCCTAACAACTATTCCGTAAAGGGGCATCTTATGCTCATTTTCATGTTCATATTTGTATTTAGTGTCTCTACTGTGACATGTCTTCATGCTATAATGTTCAAAAAGCTCTTTATTTTTCTCACACTGCCTGAGCTGCAGCACCTCTTTTCACCCTCTGTCTGAAACCAGAGCCCAGTCTGCTCTGATTGGTTAGTTAGCAGGCTCTCTTGTGATTGGTTAACCACTTAGAGATGTTGAAAGTTAAAAACATATAAGTTACAACATAAGTTGTAGAATACAGAATAAGCACTGTATCTTAGACAATCTGCGTTTCTCGGTCACGATCGGTCGGTTCCATGAACAGCAGAATGTTTTCTCACAGTAAATGTTGCGGTCGCAAGGTATTATGGGACGGCATTGTCTCCCCTCCTTTCGTAAAGAATGGTCGAGTGTATCCTAAGCTTAAAGGTGGGGTAGGTAAGTTTGAGAAACCGGCTCGAGATACACTTTTTGTTATATTCCATGGAATGCTCTTAACATCCCGATAGCAATGAATATCTTAAGTGCTTTGACAAAAAATCCATAAAATAATGTCATCTGTGGAAGCCGTGGTACTGTAAAAAGCACGACCAATCATCTGAGCCGGCCCGGCTAAAATAACTGGATGGCCTACCTGCCTGTCAGCCTTCCATCTGTGCACAAACTTATCTCGTGCCCTCATTGGTCATGTGCGCGTTCGTGTGTGTTGGAGGAGGGGCTCTGTGAGAAAGTGGCAGATTTTTTCCGGCTGTGTATTTTCAAATTCTAGCGCACTCGAGCTGGTTTCTCCAAAATTACCTACCCCACCTTTAAGGAGATAAAGGAAAACGAAATCCTATCATCTAGAGCAGTGATTCTCAAATGGTGGTACGTGGAACCCTAGGGGTACGTTGCGGTACTGCAGGGGGTACGTGAGATAATTTTTTTTTTAAAAAGGTTAATTAAAAAAATACCATGCATGATTACAAAAATAATGTTAGTACAATAAGTTAAATAGAAAACACAATTTTATATAAAATATTCCTAGAACACCAAGGGGGTCCTCATAAACATGTCAAATGTGTGTATTGTATTTTATAGTTTTTCATAATATATCATTTTGTTCATTGGTTTGTTAAACATATATTACTTCAATTGAAAAACTCCTTGGAAAAATTTGTTTTGAAAAAATGTCGTTATGTTATTTTTTTCATGCATAAAGATGAAAATATCTTTAGTTAGTTGTAATTCGTGCATTACAACTATCAAACATGTTCGGGGTCGGTCAGGGGGTACTTGGCTGAGAAAATGTTTCAAAGGGGGTACATTACTGAAAAAAGTTTGAGAAGCACTGATCTAGAGAATTCAAACAGCTCTTATCATGGCTGAAACTTAGATACTTCTGGGTCATTTTGTTCCGTTAGGAAACTTCCTGAGAGAAATTCACAATTCGAGCGCAGTCTGTTCTCTCTCTACTTGTTTACTTACCTCAGGTTTTCTTTTTCCTGCTTCTCTTTTCCGAGTAACTGCTCTGCCTCCTCCTTCGTGGAAGCTGTCGCTGCTGCCAGCCTGTTGAGGAAGAAGAAGAAAGACAGAAGAAGAATGAGGGTGGAGAGCCGTGAGCAATATTCACTCATTAGAGAACCTAAGCCTCACGTAAGGCCATTGCACTCCCATGGGGTAGAATGAGCTTATAGATGATGCAACTTTAATGATGGAGAGCAGAGGATGATCGTGATGAAATGGAATGAGATGAAAAATTAAAATGTACCTCAGAGGTAATTGATATAAAGAGAGACCTCCCCCTCGCCTCTTGCTCATATTCACATAATTCAACAACTCCAGAATTAATGGGATTGAAGTGCAAAATAGAGATTAAAAAAAGAAGAATGTAAGTGAATTACTTTTTAAGTGTTACATTTTTAGAGTTGCCTGGAGGTACATGCATGATATCTCATTCATGAGCCCCACAATGTGCTTACTTCTACAGAATGCTAATGTGGTCACAGTGTCAGCTATAGTTTTATCACCAAAGTGATCTACAGACATGAAGAAGTTAAGGTTTATGGTATGTTCTGAACTTCTTGCCAGTGTTACCGATTGGTTTGCTTTGCTTCTTGTCAAGGGAGCCCTTGTGATGCTAACTTACAGGTCGGCCAACGAAAACACGTCATGACTGAACAACTCTATTATCATCAGGAATAATGGAACACCTACTTAGCTTGACGTCATCATTGACATTGAAGGGGCCATTTGTGAAGTTTGTTGTTTGACTGCACTCTTTCTGGGTTCTATTTAATCTAATCTTTGGTTATTTGATGCAGATATGAAGTGTTTAATGCCTATGTAATCATTGTATAGGAATTTCTGGCAAGGTAACGAATTTGGACTGTTTTTTATTATATTATATAAGATGCGATTGGGCTGTAAACTTTCATTTTGACCTGTAAACACTGCCACCCGCAAATACCTCAAGTGTGGGTATAGTGCCGTTACTGTGCTTTGTATTTTAGCCTGATTGATTCCAGCAGGAAAATATTGACCGACAGACTCCAGCAATCAAACTAAACTCATAAACAGTGAGATTGTGTTACCTGGACACTGAGAGCTCATCCCAATCTTTCCTAAAACACCACAAATAAACACTGACAGCGAGACAGAGAGATGTCATAATGAGCAGTAAGTATAGCAGACAAATGGAGTCTAAAACCAGACAGGTAATAATCACGACCAACAACGTGAACGCAAGAGGGAGGGTATCATTTAAATGAAAAGCAGGGATCGTGCCAGGGTTTTTTTTGTGTGCTTACTGGCCAAGAAATGTGGGGGAAAGTCATTCAGAGGCCCTGTGCGATGAAGAAATCAGGTAAGAATAACAGCCATTTTCTCTTATAACAACACCACTGTTTGTATAACAATGGAAAGAGCAATCACCTGACTATTCCCTGTGTTTTTGTTTTTTATATTTCTGTTGTAAATGATTGTCTTTTATTGTGATTGTAGTAATGTGTTTTTATTACATGTACAGCACTTTGGCTCGACCAAAAATCGCTTTTAAATGTGCTTTATAAATAAAACTTGATTTGATTTGATTTGAATTATTTAGCTTTCATTGAGAGGTAAAAGTACAAACTGTCAGTACTGGTTTTATAAGTGGTACGGTACAATCAGTCTTTGCCTCAGGGTTTCCACCTGCCAGTAAACTTCTGATTTCCCTGTTCATGGCTGTTGTATTGGGTGTGGCTATTGTGAAGTGTTCAAGTAAGGGATAATTTGAAGCTTCAGGGTGATTCGAGATCCATCCGCTAATCGTCCGGATCCTGAATCGTTTTCTCATACTGATATTCCAACACAAACTGTGCTGTTATATTTGCTGTAAAGTGTCCTTACTGTAAGGTAATTATTATATGTACAGCACTTTGGCTCGACCAAAAATCGTTTTTAAAATGTGCTATATAAATAAAACTTGATTTGATTTGATTTGATTTGAATGTCCGCCTCGCTGCACATTATCCCGCTTATTACACAGCTACATAAAGATAAACAAACGATTTGGCTCTTAATTGTATTGATGTTGAAATCATCATATTTCTTCAGCAGAGAAGAAATGGTCCTTTCCACTGCGTACCAACGGCTGTAACTGCGGCGTCAGCAACGTTACTTAAAATGAGCACTGATCGAGCTTTTCTGTAACTGTCCAAGACTGTTTACATTTTATTTTCCATTAAACAGTCTTGAAAGGTCCCATGTCATGCTTTTCTGGTTATTACCCGTCCCCCCCGGTTTTTATGCATGTAAACGGTCTGCAGAGTCAAAAACCCTCAAAGTACACCCTGTAGCGAGTAAAACTCTAACACAGAAAAGACCTGTCTATGCTGCCCCAGAACGCCTCGTTGGAGATTTCTCATTTACCATTTGACGTCATGCGGTTCCCGGAACCAAAATGGACCAATCCGCGGAGCTCCTCACACACCAGGATCCCTTGGCGTCACTATCAAACGCAGTGGGGGGACCTTTAGCGTACATTTTCAACTAACAGGGAGTCCCATTGACTTGCATAGAGCTCCCTGGTTGGTAATAGACGAGTTGGGATCGCGGAGAAATGCTCTCCGCAGACCCATTCTCACAGCGTTTATAAACCTTTTTCTTACTCAATATCAAGCCACACTTATTGTTTTTACTTCGGCTGTGAGTGTTTGTGTGTGCTCAGGATGAGTTTCACGCTGTCTCGCTGTATCGCCGACCCGGAAACCACACCAGTAAGCCAGCTCACTGAGCAGCGAGCCTCGCAACGTCCCGACCAATCAGAGCACACTGGGCTCACAAGGAGTGAATACACATACTATACAGAGATGCTGTATGAGAAACCAATGTGAGTTTGGAAAATTGCACAATATAAATCTATTTTAGTTTACCTCAACAATGGAATTATGATCAGCAGAAATGGCCATGACATGGGACCTTTAAACACTGCAGAGCCCATACTGTCTTCCCTTTATTGTTAAATTCCTGTCTGTCTTCTTCTGCTGTTCCCTTTAGTGTCAACTTCCTGTTTGTATTTTTCTGTTGATTTCACTGACCTTGAGTGAAAAATAGCAGTCCTCTGAATTTTCTAATTGACCAATCAGAATCGAGTATTTAACTAAGCCGTGCAATAACTCTAGGTTGCGCCTTATGATAGATAAGTGGCAAACGAATCGAGAAAGACAATATATTTACGAGATTTACAAATGAATGACACTGCTGAATGATGATGAAGAATCACTAGTACGATTGATTTGTGAAATATCACTGATTTGCAGTTTATATTTGTATGTGTGTGTGCAAGTGTCAGCATTTTGAAGACTAAAATGAACATATACTGTACAGTTGTCCAAATGCACATTTTCATTATTCTTATGCGAAATGTTGAATTTGATCAATTCTGTATTCCTCTTTGAATGTTGGTTTAATGTATACTTTATGCTGCTATTGAAACTTAACGTTTTTATTTGAAAGAGATCATAAATAACACTAAAATAAAATAAGAACAAGTCCTTTTATATGTGCGATGTGTGTAAACGTTGCATGTAAAGAGGGGCAGTTGAGAGCAGATAGGATGAGAATAGGCTAAGCAAGTATGCACGTTTCTAGTAATCCTGTGTGTGTGTGTTTGAATGAACACATGTTTATGCGTGTAAGCATTCTGATGTGGGTGGCTTTGCTGATATATGTGTCTGGTGTGTGTGTGTCAGGTGTGTGTGTGAGACAGAGTGAGTTTCCGTGAGCGTTGTCTGCTTGCATGTTTGCCACTTTCTGACCCAGTCGGGATGAGCCCGTGATCCTGTTTGTGTGTTTGTGTGTTTGTGTGTCTTTGCTTTTTTGAGTGATGGCAGCCCAGACTCCCACTGTTCACCCATCTGTCCCCACCGTTCCCAAAGCGAGATCAGAAAGAACATTGCCTCCAGACGGATGTGTGTGTGTGTGAAATGAATTTCGTGAGTGTGTATTTCGTATACGAATCTGTGTGTGTATTGTGTGTGTGTGAGCTCCTGTTCCCAGGGCAGTGGCTGTCAGTGAAATAACTAGGTAGTGCCAGCAAGTGCGTGCCAGATTAGAGTACCCCCTACCAGCAGCCCAAATCAACTGCCTCATAAGGACATGTCACACACACACACACGCACGCATACATAGTCCTGCACACACTGATCTGCCAGCCAGTGTTATCGTGACCTACCGAGTCAAATGTTTTCTCTTCTGGGATGTGTGTGTGTCAGAGACTTTCATGCTCTTTCATATTTTCAGAGATTTGGACTGAAGGTCAACGCTACAAAGCTAGCAGGCTTATTTCCAGCCACTAATGGCGCGTTTCCACTACAGCGCGGAGCACGGTTTAAGAGGGCTGTGACGTCGGCGGCCCGTTTTTGGTTGCGTTTCCACTTGGCCTAGTACCGGCCGGCGGGTCCTAATTCACAGTTTTTATGGCCTCATAAAATCGTGGGTCTAGGGCCAGAGACAACGAGGCTGAGTCGGGCTGAGTATGCTAAACTAGAGAGAGAATCGCTGGCAAGGGGGCTACAACTACAACAAGATGGACATATTTGACCGTGATTTAATTGTAATACACGTTTCAAAATGATGCCGAAGTAACAACATACTGATACCGGTTAGTAAAAACCATGAATTAATGCTTTGACAAGTCTGCAGACAGACGGCAGGCGAAAAACCTTTTAAAATGCGTGTTTTCTAAATGGAGATTGGCTAAGCTAACGCAGTATATGCTCCGACCGTCCACGCTCACATCAACGGCCTATACAGACATAAATAAAGCAGCGACTGTATTCGCCATGACACAGGCAGTCTGTGGTTTGTACTTGTTTAACTTTTGTCTAGTTTCTGAACAGATATGAGGAGCTGTGAGCTCTGAGTGCTAACAGCTAACGGCTGTGTTGTTTTTCTGGGGTTCTCATTGAAGATGACGTCACGGCTCCGCCTACACTGCGTTACTATAGATACTGCCCCAGTTCCTAAACTGTAATGGAAATGCGCCATAAAGTGAGCCAGTCCTAACGAGGCCTAGCCATACCGAG